GGAAGGGCTATCTGGGGCATTGTTTGGCAAGTATAGGCCTGGATCAGGCTATAGCATCACAAAATGCTTGCATTAGAGGATCCAAGAACAGGGACCTATTCAGAAACTCATCAAGAGCAGTCACCAAAACTCTGTCATGCTGAGAGCTAAAAAAATGGAGGAAACATCAGAAAACATTTTTTGTCGAAAGCTAGCCATGTGTTAAGTCCTTTGTAAACCTTGCCATATATGGCTTGAGTGATCGGTTTTCTACAGGAAATTAAAGTCTTTTAACTTTAAGAGCTGCTCTTCAGAAGCCAGGCAGATAGCTTCAAGGCTTTCACCTGCAGGTGAGGCATTGGTCCCTGCAACACAATGTCTGGTCTGTACAGAAGGAATTGATTAGATGCTCTGGCTGGAGACAGTAGGAGAAGAATGGTGCCAAGGGTATCAGATCTGTATTTCTGGAGTTAGTCTAAATGGGGAAAAGGTAAGATTGCATTCTCTCTTGGAATGAGAGAAAAGAAGGACTTCAATTTTGCATTGATCTACAAGGTAAAAAGTTGACCCCATAATGACTGGATTGCTGTGAAGATTTCTGGATGCAGGGACCACTCTGCTACTAATATATCTTGGAGATTCAAGTAGTCCACCAGTTGGTTGTAAGATCCCTTCAAATGGATAGCAGAGAAGGAAGAAAGGTTATTTTCTGCCCAGTATAACACAGACTCTAGAGAAGGACTCTTTTTGCCTCCATGTTTGTTGATGTATACGATTGTAGTGGCATTGTCTGAGAGGACTAAAAGGTGATACTCTCTGACATTATTATACAGGATTTATATAGCGTCAACAGTTTGCACAGCGCTTTACAATATAAGGAAGACATTACAATCACAATACAAGATAGTAAGGTGGGGCCTCAAACTAAAAGGGAGGGACAAGTGATACATGAGGAGGTAGCTGTGTGGGGATGAATTGTTTGACAACGTGATGGTTGAGGTGGCATGAAGTGAGAACAATATTTCTGGTATTTTTCTGTGAAATAATACAATATTATTAATATTAATAATACAATACAATCTAGATTACAGCCAGTCCGGTCTCATATAAAACTGGCCAGACATCACTTCAATATTCTACATGGAGTCACTACAATTTTTGTTTATTTTTCTGTAAAAGATTTCACTATAAAACTTGATTTTTAGTGTAAAACCCGCCCAGTATGTGTCCTCATCAATCTGCAGCCTGGTACTTTACATCATGTGATTGGAGTCAGGACGAGATTTGTTGTATTTTTCTGTGAAATTCTCTAAATTACTTTATGAAATCTTCTCTGCTCTGTTCTCTGTGATATCTGCAGCTTTGTACAAGTCTGATATACCGATGTGATCAAACATCTGATCTACATAATCATCGGCAGTACAGAGCACATCCTCCCCAAAACACACAGAGGGGAATGATGATTTTAAAGATGATATATAGAATAGGAGAGAAGAAACACAAGCGCTGGGGAGGTGCGCCCCACAACAACAATCACCCTTATGACTGGAAATTAGGGCCTTTCAATGTCTTCCAATTGGATGACTGTTTGGATTGTTCCCTTGTCCAGTGGTCCTTCAGATGGGAGCAATGACCCCAGCCACCTGCATTTGTGCTAAATCTCAGGGACATAATGAAAGGTTCTCCCTTGTGGTCCCTTGCTAAGAGGAAGCATTTTCTTCATCATCAAAGACTGCAATGTACACTGAATGGCACTTCTTGACAAATGAAGGCCATGCATCAGTGATAAAACTGACAGCTTTAAAAAGCATAGGGAAGTAGCCCAGCAACCTTCTCCCTTTGCATGCCTGCTTTCAAATGCAACTTTATTTAAGAAACTCAGAATTCAGGATTTCTGGCGACGCAGGTGAATGCTGGCTTCAGATTAGGCAAAACTGAATCCCAGGCCTTTTTAAGAAGAATATCACTCTTCTAATCCATTGGGGCAAGGTCTGTATATTTGGAAACAATTCCAGGAGGATTTCTATTCCACAAGTGCTCGGAATCCTCATCATAAGGAAATATGCATTAAAAGCATACAAGCAAAAGTAAAATAAGTATTTGATCCCCTACCAACCAACAATAATTCTGGCTCCCACAGACTGGCTATGTGGTACACAGATTAGTCCTGTAAATTTAGGAACGTGCTCCGTTATTGTGTATAAAAGACACCCGTCTACAGAATCTCTTTCTTCCATTCAAGAAGAAAGAGCTCTTTGGCATTAACTCGACTCGCCGTGCCTGGAGGAAGAAAAATGCTCACTATGACCCCAAAAGCACCATCCCTACGGTCAAGCACCGAGGTGGAAACATTATGCTTTGGGGCCGTTTCTCTGCTAAAGGTACAGGAAGACTTTGCCAATGGACGGGGCCATGTGTTGTAAAATGTTGGATGAGAACCTCCTTCCCACTGAAGATGGGTGGTGGATGGGTCTTTCAGCACGACTATGACCTAAAACATACCGCCAATCGTAATTGCAGTCAGGCAAACATTGTGGCGGAATTTATCAAAACTGGAGCAGACAGAATCTGGAGCAGTTGCCCACGTTAACTAATTAGGTTCTCTTTTACGTTTGTTCAGTTAAAGGAGAACTATGAGGTGAGTGATTTCCAATCATCCTCATAGTTAGAGCCGACCTGTGACAAAGAAGCGGTCACAGGTCGGCTCTATCAATCGGGAAATGAGCAGAAACATGCAGCCGATCCGCTCACTTCCCGATCGTCTCCCTGCAGTGAGCGGTGACCCCCGAAGGTATTCCCCCCTCCGATCCTCCAGTGCTGAGTGGAGAAACGAATGGGGGAGGGGGTGGGCACAGCTGGCTCTGCCTCTATATAGGCAGAGGCAGCTGTCACTCAAGCAGCTGGGTGGATCTCTACAGTATTGTCGGGATCCGTCCCGGCTGCAGCGTTCTCAGTATATTGCGGCCAATAGCCCACGATATACTGAGCTTTGGGTCACGGGAGGAGGTTAGTATATGTCCTCCCGTGACCCTAAAAAGAAGTATGGGGAAAAACACTTGCCCCATAGTTCTTTTAAGCTTTGAAAATGAAAGATAGAACCTGATTTGTTGCAATGAGCAACTGCGCCAGAATTTGTCTGCGTTAGACTTCTAAAAGTCCCCCTCTCGATGTCTATCTCCTTGCCTAAACCATCCTTTAAGATGAATAGACCAGGAAAAGCTCCAGTTGTACATCAGAGCATGGACACTAATGCAGCCATCTATAGATTTTCTACATATGTTATTGGAAATCTTTTAAAAGGTTCATCTCTTACTCTCGTCCCAAAAGACCCCCCCCATTTATTTCCTAAACACGTACATACCTTTATTGTCATCTGGCTAGTCCGGTGAGATAATGGGTTCTTCATCTCCTGATCTGGCGATGGGTGCACCAGCAAGAATGTCATTCATATAATAATGTGTGAGCAGTGTTTTGGGCTGCAGTACTGTGAGCCCAGGCAAGCAAGATTATGCACACCCAAGGGGTGCGTTTATGACAGCTGGCCATCATTCAACATAGGAGAGAATTGCCATCTTGTGCAGAAGATGACAGCACTGGATTATGGACCATTATTGCAGTGAGAGCTTCTGTTTTTGTGTAAGGTAAATTATGGAACTTGAGTTCTGCTTATACAGTGGGTTGGTAAGCATTAGAACTGCTTTTCTATCTATAAACATCAATGGGAACGTAAAAGCAGCTTGAGTCAACTCAAATCCAAGATCCATGGCCCCCAATGTGTATTTCTACTTTTGTAGTCACAATTGAAAAAATACTGCTATATGTGTGTTACTTGTTCCTATTCACACAGCTTACCTAAATATATATACATTTTTCCCAGTATGTTTTCCCTTTTAGATGTGCTTATGTAGCAAGCCTTTGTATGTTAATGAGGGGGAAGCTTGCAATGGTTCTAGAGTTTTAACCCTTTATTAGGGCAGACATTGTAAAAAATCTAGTTTCAAACAGATAATGAGCTTTGCCAACACAGTGCAGACAGGGTTAATTAAAATAACATTAATCTCCACACCCCCCTTGCATGCCGGAGGGAAATTCGGCACAGGGAACAACTTTTCATTCAGAACTGAAGAATTTACAGTTTTTAGGTTATATGAATGAGAAACATGTAACAAATATAAGGCAGATGTTATCCCAGTTTGGCTGCAATAGTGGAAATACACTTTACAGCAGTGGTTCTCAACCGATCAAACCTCAGGACCCACATTTGTCTTTGGTCATTAAGTCGCGACCCACTAGTTGAGAACCAGAGCTTTACAGCATTCAGCATTTGCCTGTATAAACAAGTCCCCATTTAGCTAATTTTCTGTGCCACTGCAGAGAGAAGATCATCATATAGTCCCAAGCGGAATGCTTGCTGCTTACTTTCCAACAGATATTGTTCTATATTGATAGCTTCCTACACAAGTAAGCAGCAGGACTCTAAAGAACAGGGTTCTCATGTCTTGAATAAGAGAAAGTTGCACTGAGAAATAGACAAACAATATGAAACCTTAAAGGAAGTGCTCAGAGGTAAGTGTAATGTGCTAATTATACTTAATACTGTGCTGTCCCTAATGAAATACAGCCCTCCTAAAGCTTTGCCTGAGTGCTGCAGTGCTATCAGATTAATGCTTAGGTTGGACTTGATGGACTAATGTCTTTATTCCACCTCAAATACTATAACTATGTAATCCACGAATTTTTCTAGTTCCATTCCATGCTACATTCTGAATGGAATTAGCGTCCCCATAGACTACAATTTCTGTAACACATTCCATTTAAAAACAGCAGGGGCTGGAAGCAGAAAGCGCATATCCGATTTAATATAGAAAGCATTTCTAGTTAGCTGAACTGCCGATTAACTTTTGAATGCGTTTCTTTTATCAAATAGTAGTTACAAAACATATATGGCCTGCATTAAACCATATACTACTGTTACAACCAAAAGCACCACAAGTCAAAGAACTGCTCAAACACATCACGCAATATTACAGGAACATTTTATATTTAAATATTAGGTTTCATTTTTAAAAGTTACAGTATTTATTGTGTGCTATGAATGAATACATTTTAGGCATTCTCTAGTCTTTAAGATCATGTTAATAATCCTATTGTGAAATGCTTAAAATATGCCATGTGGACACTAAGAAGGTGGTTATGCAGGTAAGTGATTTATTTTGTATCACGTGCAGTCCATGTTTTCATCTTCTGCTTCAATGTCAGGAGGGCACAATTCATCCAGGGCAAACTCTGTAACAGCAGAATGTGAAGAAGAGAAATGACAAAGTTCCATCTATTATCAACTACAATGAACCAGCTAATATCTACCTACTACCAGCAATCACTACAGTTGCCATGGCTGCAAGTTTACACTATAATTGTCCTTGTACCCTGGGACTGAAAGTGAGGGAAAAATGCAACCAGAAGAGGTATAAAGAAGAAATCTTTATAGTACGTAGGCACTCTGTACCTCTGTACAGCAGGGGTGGCAAACCTCCGGCCCTCCAGCTGTGGTGGAACTACAAATCCAATGAGGCATTGCAAGATTCTCACAGCCACAGGCATGACTCCTGAAGAGAAATGCATCATGGGATTTGTAGTTTTACCACAGCTGGAGGGCCAGAGGTTTGCTACCCTATTGGGGAGAATTTCTCTCACTTCCTCTTCCTTTAACACCTACAAAAGAAATGAGGGAGCAGTTGTCACCGGTAAAAGAAGACATAGAAACTAATAAAAAAACAGTGTTACACATACTAACCCTTTCCCATGCTACTAAAAAATATAGTTTGCCTGTGTTGAGCTGACAGTCAGTGTGGGGTTTTATCCCCAATAGGGTCAGAAGAGGCAATAAAAGCCTGTCAGGCTATAACCCTTCCCTGCTCTATCCTAAACAAAATGAAAAGTTTTTGCTGGGTTTTAACATTTCTGACATGTTTTTCATTCTGACTGTGGCCCCAATGTGGAGATTTTACCTCACTTTTTGTCCCTTCTTGTACCAGTGTAAGAATGGGGTTGCAAGGATCACAAAGACAGGAAAGCAGAGACAGCAATTAAACAGTTGTCATGAATTCTAACTCTTCCTCACTCTAGTAAAACCTATGTATTGTCTGTGCTTTGGTGGACTTTATTTCACTTTCAATATTGCGCTGATACTGATTTTAGTGTGTTTTATCAATTGAATTGTGTATTTTTATCGGTTTAATATTAATTTGAGAAACATTTGCGCAATTATCGCAGGGCCTACAAATTTAGTATCACCATCTTTTTATTCTACCGGGCCTGCGCTTTCAGAAAATATATGGTTTGGGGGGTCTTTTACAAACGCTAGCAACGCAGCAGTTGAAAATCAAATCAATAGGAAAAAATTGCAGAAAATTCAAAAATGGCTTGGCCAGCTGATTTGAAAAATGTTCCGGAGGGCTTGGCAGCGAAAGGGTTAATAACCCCTTAGTGACCGAGGCCTTTTTTTTTCATTTTTTGTACCCATGTTACCCACACATTATATATTTTCGGACAGCCAGGACCCTGTAGAATAAAATGTCAGCAGATTCAAATTTTTATGTTGCACGATATTAGGGCAACGTATTATCAAACCCCCAAATTTAGTGAAAAATGTCCTTAAATGCCCCAAAACACAATTAAATACCCATGTTTTAAATAAAATATAAAAGATGAGGTTACGAGTAAATAGATACCCAATATGCTCAGGGTAAAAAATTGTGTGCGTCCGTGAAACTGCAACAAAATTTAGTACCCCAAAAAGTCCATAGATGACGCTTTAAAAGCCCCCACGGGTCATCAGTTTAGAGATACGCATAAATATTGGCCTTAGAATTATTACTCTCACTCCGGCGTGCGTGGCAATACCCAACATGTGTAGCATGATCGTCATTTTCATACGTAGGCGCACCCGATGCGTGTTTACGATTTTTGTTTTACATTGTTGTTACATTTATTTAATGTAATATTTATTTTTGTAAACTTTTTTTGTTTGTTTTTTTAACTTTAATTGAAAACGTAGGGTTGAGTAAGATTAAGCGCCGCACACATAGCCATTCCTGGTGTAGGGTGGCTACAAGCCCCCCATGTGATAGCAGATTGGCAGTGACAGGTACACTTTAAGGTGATGCTGGGGGTCCAAAAGACCTCCTAGCATCACCTTTACGCTTGAAATAAGCTATTGAAGTGCACGTAGCACTTCAATAGCTTATTGTTTGGCTTCAGGAGCCCAGCACTGAGAGCTATGGGACCGGAAGTGATGTAATCTGCATCGCTCCCAGTCCCATAGTACGGGGAGGGGGAATCGGTGGACGGACGTTCGCCAATCTTCTCCCCAGCCTGCCCCCGCCACTAGAGAAGCCAGTCCTGGGCCCGTAGGAGGGGCAGCGGAGCCTGTGAAACATGGCGGGGGTGTCGAACGAAGACGGGGCGTGGCCAGTTTACTGGCCCTTAGAAGGGATCGGGCAACAGCTGAGTCGCCTAATCACTTCTATTGTAAAGTCGGCAGTCTGCCTTACAATTGTAAACAGAGTCCCAGTTTCTTTAGCGCCTGGAGTCTGTTTAAATGGGCCAGTGACATACCATGGACGTCACTAAACTTTTTGATAAAGGAGTAGAAGTGCACAAGGCAGTATATGCACATAACGTTTCCTATATAACAAAACAGTGCAAGTACATAAGGCAATGGTGGACTTTATTTCAACCTGTGTATTCTCCCTGTCAGTACAAGGTCAAAGGGCACAGAACACATTTCCGATATGTTATGGAGAGGAATTTTTCCCTCCTTTAATCATTGCAATAATTTGTATTACTAGTTACATGCAAACACAACATTGTTGTTTTCCAAATATACATTACAGTTATCTATTAGGCCTCATTCACCCACAACGCAAGCAAAATTGTATATTGCGTATATACGCGCCAATACGAGCGTCAATGCGCGTATGTACGAGCGTCATTGCGCGTACATACGAGCGTATATGCGTGTACCATTTGCATTCCCAGAATACATAATTCCTAATGGAAATTTTAATGAACTGTACGCATATACGCTCGTATACACGCGCAAACATGCGTATGCGCGTAAAATACGCCCGGACGCATCTCGGTTCCATTCTGTTTTTGCGCATATATACGCTACGCAAATATACGGCTCCATACGCGACTATGTGTATGGTGCCATTTATTCGCATATGTTGCATATGGTACAATACGCACTTACGCGCGGCAGTGTGAATGAGGCCTTAAAGAAATATATGCAAGATTTTGTTAACTAGCTCATGCACACAGTCCTCAACTCTATCCTAATCCTAGAAAGGTTGAATATTTATGGGTAAATGGCTCTTTAAAATGAATATCAAATATTATGGCACCGACCTTCATTCTCTTTCAAAATATTACACTTTCTTAAGATGGCTCGGACTCCTGGCACAGCCTGATCATACTGGTGGAGGACCTCCAGACAGTGCTCACTGAAGTTTTTATCCTTTTGGAAGAAACTGTACAGCAGCATTGCTGTCTCCCTTAGAAGTTGTACAGATTTGTTTAAGGAAGAAAGCGTAGGGTTGAGTAAGATTAAGCGCCGCACACATAGCCATTCCTGGTGTAGGGTGAGGACCAGGGCCTTTACAACCTAAACAATAGACAAATAACAGTTATGACACCAAAGAATTTTCATGATAGACAACCGGTTTTAATGGTGCAATGTTTTTTTATGTACAGTACTACAAAGGACAATGTACGGTATAAAAAAACCCTGAAACCTATTCTTAGCTAGATGTAAACACACATCAAACCAAATGAAGTTAGCAGACAGATTTTACCAAAAAAATCCAAATAATTCATAAAGATCATCATGCTTCTGCAATATTGTTTTGCAGCTAAAAAAATTACCATCTTCAGTTTCCCTCATGTAAAACAAAAACTAAACAATAATGATAACACCTTAAAGAAAACCTTTTGCCGAGAGGAATCGAGTAGTCCATCACGTCTTTATTTCATTATTTGTATCAATTTCTTTTTTTTCATATTTTTTATAACTTAACTTTATTGTTATCACACAGGGGCTAACAAGCATTGAGAGGTGACAGGTTCTCTTTATGAGCCTGCCCTTCAATACAGGAGACCCAGCACATGTGTGCTCTATCTTCTGTATAGCTCCACTTGTGACAGGTGACACGGGAGCGTTGCGAGTACATCGGTCCTGTGTCACTGATCACAGAGCAGATTGGAGAACAGACATTCTCCGATCTGCTCCCCGCTCTCTATCCTGAAGACATTTGCAGTGGTCTCATAAATTGGCCACAACTGCCCTGTGTGGTGTAAGTACAAGCCACACTGCAAATAAAAAAAGGAAACAAAACCAAAATGTCAGCCAAATACTCACACACAAACAATGTGATATAAACGTTTTATAGAAAATAAACAAAAAAAGAAAAGAAAACCATAATGAAGGAAATGTACCTCTCTGTTACACTGACATTGAACTCCTAACCCAGAGGAAGGATAATTCCAACCTTGAGTAATCAGCTTGTTTAGCAGCCTAATTACCTAGAAAATAAGGAATACATATATGTGAGCAGTGAAACAGGTCTATGATGAGGTTCATATGACAAATGATCAAAATTATTAAGGCATTCCAATAAAAGATTTCATGTTAAAAATCAATTTCCTAACCAATAAAACCACAGCATTGGTTGGGCAGTACACTGAATCCAAGCACTCAATCCAGCTAGTCACCCCACCGCAAATTCATGAAACTGCTTTTAATATTTTGACTAATTTCATTGTCAATTGTTAACTGTAAATCCAAATTTGTATAATTGTTTACACATTTATGAACTGATTTTTTTAAATATTTATTTTTTGCATTAGGGCTTGTGTACATGGAGCTAGAACAAACAAAAATGTCCTGTTTAAATACTACAAGGGAACCAACTACTACATGTGTAGATATCGGTTAATAATATAAATAACAACCTTTACACTGCATCTCTAAAAATAGTACATTTATTGCCCACTACCACATTCAAAAAGCAGCCATCCCCCTCCCCTTCCTCAATCATAGCTAGCGAATCTCCATCAATGTGAACGATGTAGATGCAGATTTTAGCGGGTACCATAATTCCATTTTTTTCAAATTACTTGGGAAAGTGAACTTACTGTTTAATACACATTATCTGTGTTAGAGAGTGCTGGCACAGTGGAATGGGAATGGCACACAAACACACACTGCCCTATGTGTGTGTTTATTCATATGCAGGTGAAGGGGGCGGCGGAGTTGGTTTTAATTTTATTTATCTTATTATTTGTTATCACATTTTTATTTTATGTTTTCTTTTTGATCAATTTCTTTTTTTTCCCCATTTCTATTTATTTCGTTTCATCAATGTTTTCGATGGAGCTCAGCCTATTAAGTGCTGGTTCACACCTGGGCGTTTTTCAGCGCTGATCGAAGCGCTGAAAAACGCTCAGCAAGGGAAATCCCATAATTTCCTATGGGCATGGTTCCCACCTGGGCGTATATCAGCTTGTAGAAACGACCCGACGGCCGCGTCGCAGGGGGCGGAACCGGAGGGAAGTTTGAAAGTTAAAAAAAATCATACAGCCAGTGAGGTATAATACGAGCATTGAACGCGCGTTTCACTGAACGAAAAAACGTGCTAAAAAACGAGCTGAGAAACAAGCAGAAAAAACGCGCCTACAGTACGTCCAGGTGTGAACCCAGCCTAAGATGTCTTGATAAAGATGGGCTGAGCTCCATCAAAACGTTGACAATATAATACTGATGCTTTGACTTATTACCGCTGCAAGATCTGTGAGTGTCTCTATATTTGCTTTGGATTTGTATAGATATTTTTGTGGAAGAGCATCCAAGCTGGTCATATTATGAAAAAAACCAAGCCCTTTACCTACCTCATGCTCAAATTGTAGACAGAGCAATTCAGATGTCCGTTTGTCTGGTTTTAATGTGATGTACATGTACAAAGCAAGCAGGATACAACTTCCTGCCATGAAAAGGAAAAATGTGGCAAATTACTCTTCTGTATCAAATAACTTGTTCCATGTTTAACCATTTCTTAGCTCCGGCCAAAATCAGCAGTATCAATTAACTTAACAATAACACTATTTCGCCAACCCCAATTACTTTTATATTTTTTAAGGACATAAAGCTATTTTTCGGTATACCATTTGAATAAAGATACTGATTGTTTTTTGTTATAGGTTGGCAAAAACCTATAATTTTTTTTTTCAATTAATGAATGTATTTTTAATACTGTAATTGTACCTAGCAATTGCAGTATTAAAATAGGTGCACTGCCATCTTCAGGCTGCAGTACCTTCTGCAGGCTGAAGGCTTATTTTGAGCCTCCAAACACCAAAGTAGCTGTTGTTTATAAAGACCCCGTTACATAAATGCAAATGCAGAACTGTGAGTGTTTAGCATAAAACTGATGATACTTATACAGGCTTGCTTCTGAATAATGTACATTTGGCCCCATTTAATTGGCTTTATTTGATATTGTGTCCAACTCCTGACAGGTCGAGTCAAGGATCAGAAACCTGACCCTGCTGCCTTGTCAACAGGCACCCAGCTCCTAAGGTCTCGTTCACACCTAGGCGTATTGCATATGCGCGTCTGTCGCGCGGTTTTTTTAACCGCAATTCGCGGTAAAAAAAGTTGCGCAACCGTCGCACGTTTCCGAAGGCTACTTGGCTGTATCCCAATGGAAACGCGCAACAAAACGGCCCACAGTAGTACCTGTACCTTTTCAGGCGTGGGCCGTTTTGTAGCGCGTTAGGGACGGGCGGAAATACGCCAAGGTGGGAACGAGACCATTGAAATACAAATGGGATTTATATTTTTGAGCGTTTTGTAGAGCGTTCGTCGAGCGTTCGTCGAGCGTAGAACGCACTACAAAACGTTCAGGTGTGAATGTGAACGAGGGCTTAGAGTGCACAACAGTATCAAATAACAGAGCCCTGTAGTTAAAAGGAATGTAAACATCTATGGGACTTAGATATTCAATATTGTTAAGTAAACGCATAAAGTGGGAGACCGTTAAGGCAGCAAGATCAAATTGTGGAGAGGGGATAGAAGAAGCAGAGCATGATCTGATCATAGAAAACTGGAAAAAATAGGTAAAGTGTGCTTGAATGGCAAAGGAAAGTGTGTGTGTATGTATACAGTGTATATCTATGTATATAGATCTATATATATAGATATATAGGGAAGGGGGGACAGAGAGCTGATCTTGGTTAGGGGTTGAATGGAGTGGCAGCTGATTGAATTCCATTGAAGTGCCTGGTTATGGACTGGAAGGTAAAAAAAAGGAGGTTGCAGAAAGGGAGCTGATCTAAAGAGGGGGAGACGTAATGGTAAGGGGCCAGTCTTAGCACATACAAAAGGACTCATCCATATTTGTGTATTATGATGTGGCCTTTAACATGTCATTGGGAGTCTGTCTAAGCTAAGACAGCATTGTGAAAAATGTGAAGTGCAGCATGCCAAAGATGCTGCATCACAAAAGCGGAGATGTAGCGGCAACCGTAGAGCTTAGATTTGGGGTGCTGTAAAGAAAGCACAGGGATTCAGAGGGACTATAGTACTGAATGCTGCAAGAGAAGCTAGTGCTGACAGTTTGTGGACAGCTGCCACAAAACAGTGTACATGATGGGAGAAAGCGGATGTAGTGTCGACTTAAGAAACAGGGTGGAAAGTGAGGACAAAGAACTCACTGTGGCCAAGATTGGAAAGCTCTCAAACAGTGTAGAGTGGATGGGAAGAGGGCTGCCAGAGAACATAGTACAGACAAAGGAGAGAGAGCTGACTGAGAACATTGTGCAGATGGTGAGAGGAGAGCTGCCAGAGAATGTACTGTGGACTTTGAAGGAGAGCTACCATAGACTGTAGTGTGAAGGGAGGGACTGCCATAGAATGCAGGGAGTACAGTGGAGGGGGAGCTGCTAGAAACGCTCCTTCAGACAGTGTTGGCAGAGCTGCTGCAGAATCTCACGCAGGCACTGGGCAAAGAGGTGTTTAGCTTTTGGTAGCAATACAAACAAAGAAGTGAAAAGATGCATTTACCAGGGCATGGCCACTAGTGAGTAAACAGTGTTTGTGCCAGGCATCTCTTGGCATTGCTGTGCAAAACTGTGGAAGAGGTTGGATCTGGGAGGAGGCAAATGTACCTTCTCACTGCAGCTCTTACTGGAGTTCATCCAGATACACTTGAAGTTTGCTAAAAACCCTTTTAATATAACTGACCTAGTGAGGACTTAGTTCAATCAAAATAGTAGTTTCATTTTTAAAAAGCATTAATATCAAGCTGGCTGATGTTAAACTTTATCATTATTATCGATTATTGAAAAAGTTGACAACTTTTTCAATAATCGATTGTAATCGATTATGTCGATTAGTTGTTGCAGCCCTATTATTATGCGCCTTTACTTTGTCTAAAAGCATTTTTAGGCACTGGAAAATAATAAACTATTCATATTATTAACAATAATAATACATTTGATGATTTCATATTATTATCAGAAATAATACAGACTATAAATTTGTTTCAAATGATCAATTTCACTTCTTAATATATTAAAGTCCCAGAAAAAGAACTGCTAGTATTGCACTACAGTAATACCATTTTAACTTCCATTTATAAATGGTCACTTTTCAGTTTAAGTGAAACAGATTGATAGCTGTGGGGCAATATAGACAAGTTTCAGGACACCTTAGAAACCATGTTCCCATTTGAGCCTATAAATAACAAAATCTTGCCATGTGTAGATGTGCCACTTACCTGAAGAGGAGCAGAAGAGAGTGACAACCTGTTTGTGGTCTGCAAGTAGTGCCAGCAATCTGACAGCATTTAGGGCAATGGGAAATGGAGAATCTGCAGACAGGCACTGAAGCAACACAGGAGAGGTAAACAGACACTGGAATCTAAAAAAGAAAGTTTTAAAATTGGTATAATAAATGGAGAGCAAGGCGCTACAGGGGCAATAAATATAGGAGGGCTGTAATATAAGGGGGGACAGAGGGCTCACTCCGGTCAATCTACTTAGTAATGAATCCACCTTAGCAAGGTCAGATACAGGATTTATTTGCACTTCAGCAATGAGTAATAATAGAACTCAAACCACTAGCACTGAAGAGGACTTTGATATAATGGGAATAAAAGCAACTAATGCACAACGGTACAACCTGTTTAGGAGGGACAGGGTTGGTAGAAGGGGGAGAGGGGTATGCATGTATGAGAAACATAATCTAACTGTGCACATACTAGATGATCTCATGACAGAGAGTTGCGATGGTGGTGAGTCTTTGTGGCTATAACTAGATAAGAAGGAAGATAGCTGTAAACGAATTGTGGGTGTGTGTAATAAACCCCCGAACATAAGTGAAGAGGAGGAGACGGCTCACCTACATCCACAGATTACAAATAGCTGGGAAGCAGGGAAATGTTACTTCAATTATCTGGACATTGATTGGTCTAATGGAACCGCTCATTCTATAAAGGCTGGCCGTTTCCTAAACCTGTTGCAGGACAATTTCATGGATCAGATGGTAGATATCCCAACCAGGAAGAATGCTATACTAGATCAATTCATTTCCAATAATGCAGACCTAGTTGCAGACATCGCGATTAGGGATACTTTGGGTAATAGTGATCACAGGGCGATTAGTTTTAATGTTGGGTACAGGAAAGAGAAGGGTGTTGAGTTGACAAGAACGCTAAATTTCAAAATGGCAAACTTCAATAGGCTGTGTCATCTAGTGTATGACACTAGATGGGACAACTTATTTCTATCAATGAACACTGACAAGTGGGATTGTTTTTAAAATACATTGCACAAGGGCAACAAACCTAATTAAAGTGCTGGCGGAGCAAAGTTATAGGACAAGGTTGCTAAATTTTAATTTGTTCACTCTGGAAGTGAGGCGATTAAGAGAGGACATGATTTTGATGTACAAATTGTTTAATGGTACTTACTGTAAACTCCCTAAAAGAAGAAGACTAGAGGCCACCACCTAAAACTGGAGGAAATAAGATTTAAAAGGAGAACTATGAGGCGTGTGATTTCCAGTCATCCTCATAGTTAGAGCCAACTTGTGACAAAGCAGCTGTCACAGGTCGGCTCTATTGATCGGGAAGTGAGCAGAAACATGCAGCCGATCCGCTCACTTCCAGATCGTCTCCCTGCAGTGATTCCCCCCTCCCCTCTCCGATCTTCCAGAGCTGACTGGAGGAACGAACGGCGGAGGGGGCGGGCACAACTGGCTCTGCCTCTAGATAGGCAGAGCCAGCTGTCACTCACACAACTGGGTGGATCACGACAGTATTGTTGGTATCCGTTCCGGCTGCGGCACTCCCAGTATACCACAGGGAAAAGCCCGCGATATACTGAGCTTTGGGTCACGGGAGGAGGTTAGTATATATCCTCCCGTGACCCCAAAAAGAACTATGAGGAAAAACACTTGCCCTACAGTTCTATTTTAACCAAAAGGGGCGTAAGGGCTTCTTTTCTGTTAGAGTGGTAAAATTGTGGAACTCTCTTCCACAAACATTGGTATCAGCAGAGAGTATTGAATCATTCAAAATAATTTAGATACCTTCCTCACAGACCATAACATACAGGGGTTACAGGTACTATTAAAAACTAGACCACACAGGGACACACACACACACACACACACATGTTGGACCTGTGTCTTTATTCAACCTCAAATACTATGTAACTAAGAATTAAATGAAACATGTTTTGAAAACCTACCACAACTCTTTGACAAAAAACAAAAACAACACAACTAGGCACATTCCAAATTCACCAGTTACGCATAGTGCATTGTGTGTGTGCTGCCCCCATTCCACTGTGTGCCATATTGTGCTAGCAAGGCAGCACCACTCTCTGGCACGCACAATGTGCAGTAAATGGTAAATTAATTTACCAAAAGTAATTAGGGAAAATGGAATTACCCGCTTATATCTGGCCGCCTCAATCCCTCCCAATACTTACCTTTCAGCGAACGGCTCTTTCCCTCCGTCGGTACGTGTGTACTCTCACTAACCCATTCAGTCATCCAGCGCAGCCCTGCACTATGGATTCTGAACTGCGCTGACCAAGAGCTTCTTAGCACAGTTAACCAGTTGACATCCGCGGTGTTAAACCCCCTTCCCATCCAGGCCATTTTTCAGTATTCAGCGCTGCGGCACTTTGACTGACATTTATTCCGTCATGCAGCGCTGTACTGAAATGAATTTTATACCCTTTTTTGGGGACAGATGGAGCTTTCTTTTGGTGGTATTTATTCACCACTGGGGTTTTAATTTTTTTACTATATTAAGGAAAAATTACCGAATTTTTTTTTTAAAAACCCGTTTCCCCTATATTAATTGATAAAACATTTATTATTACCCAATTTTTTGGTAAAATATAAAAGACGGGGTCACGTCGGGTAAAAAGACACCAAACATGTCAAGCCTTAAAATTGCGTGCGTGCGCGAAACCTCAAAAAACGATAATACCCAAAATTGGCCATAGGCGACGCTTTAAAAGCTGTTACCGCTCATCAGTTTAGTGTTATCAGTGATTGATGGCCCTAAAATGATTGCTCTCACTGCGACGTTCGCGGCGATATGTAACATGTGTAGCGCAATTGTAATTTTTGCGCGCTGGGGCACCGGACGCGTATTTACGTTTATAGGCGCGTAAACGTGGGGGTGGGGGAGTTAAACATTTTGGGGGGGTTTTTTCCCCTTTTTTTATATGTGGCTTTTATTTTATTTTATTTTTTTATGTGTTACTTTTCTTTTTTTTTATTTATATTTTTTTTTTTGCACTTATTGTTATTGCTATTATATAGGGGGATAACAATCCCCCTATATAATAGCAAAGGCCCACTGACAGGTCCTCTTTATGGAGACATTAGGGGGTCTGTAGGACCCCTGTCACCTGTGGACCCCAAAAGAAGCTGATGAAGCAGAGATCTGCTTCATCAGCTTCTTTTCTCTGGCTATAGCAGCCAGATGACTGACAGGTGAATGCGGAAGTGATGTAACACACATCACTTCTGCATTCACAGCCCGGACGGAGATCAGCAAGGAGCTGATCTCCCGTCCTCTTCCTCCTGACGCCCTCCGAGCCGGTCCCGTTGTTTGTAAACGAGCACATATAGACGATCGGCGGGCAATGGAGCCGCTGATCGCCTATATGTGAAACACCCGTTACCGGGTGTTTGCATTGGTCGGGTCTTTTCTGCCCGTGCGTGCCCGCTAGGGGGTGCGTGCAAGCAGAAAAAAAATGCCGTCTGGCGACGGCAACCCGCCAATGCAGCAGTGCCGTCCGTCCGTTTTTTTTACAACGGGCGGACGGCAAGTGGTTAAATATGGTTTTGGTTACAATTATTTTTTGTATCAGGACATGAAGATGTCGTAAGTGACAGGTAGATTGGGCCCCACTTTAGTTCTTGGACAAGTAGTTTAAAAAAAAATGTTCACACCCCTGTATATACTTAGTTCTGAGTGACAACACTTGTCTCCAAGATGCAGGCATGTGTCCACAAAGAGCCAAATCACTGCACAACAAGGATAGGCTCATAGTGATTGGAATTGTACATTTTTAAGACCCCCGACACATGGGAAATCTATGCCCCAATCTTGCCAGCAGAGAATGACAACAGAAAGTATGAGGAGAATAAGACTGACAGGGGAAGAGAAATGACTACAGGAGGGGAGATGACGGTATAGAGATGACGGTATAGAGGTGCCGGGACAGAATGCTAGCAGGAGAAGGGAGTAAAAGGAAGTAGACAACAAGGAGGGGTGCATAAGAATGGCAGCAGGAGAGCATAGCTGATGGGGAGGCAGCTACTGGGCTCTGCTGGAACACATACAAATTGGGATTCATAAAAGATTGGAGCTCAGAGAAAAAAAATACAAGATATAAAGATGTGATTTCCTTACAAGTAATGCGGCTTTCATTTCTGAAGTGCAGATATATATATTTTTTAACATGAATCGATGGAACAGCAGGTAGTTTTTTGCTTTCTGCTGAAACTAAGTAACTGTGGCCTCTATGGACAAACTGTTGTTCATGGAAGGGGCAGATCACATGCAAGTCTGAAAGAAACCTCTGACATAAACATAACTGAGCAAACAGTGGGCTTGGAGTGGACTAAACAGTAGTGGGGCTAACTGAGCTAAGTTTTAAAAGGTTTTATTAGCAGAAAATATGTCATCATTAAATCAGATTCATGAAGTGCTACTGTTGCACTAAGATAACACAACAATTAAATTCACAGAGAGGATGTGCACTACAGGTTCAGCCCTTGACATGCAATTAGCACCTGTGTGCCTTCAGCGATCAGTACAGACTGTGGTCTTTTCAGGATAAATGTAACATCTACATACACTCTCTCACAGCTAAAGCTTACAGCAATACTTACATGCTGTTTCCCTCTATTTTGGACACAGATCCCAACCAATGTAATTTTCCACTGGAAATTGCTATGCTGCGACAGAAGTGTGTAATGCATTTAAAATGCCTACATTATGAAAAGAATGTGTATTACTAAGGGGCTGGTTTTGAGTATTGTGCAACCACAATTGAATTTCCTATTTTATTTCTGTACTTGTAGCATGCTGTTAGCATTTAAAAGTTTATTTGGGCGTGACATGCGGCCAAGCTGAGAAAACCCATAAAAACAAGTTTTTTTGTACTCTATAGAATTAAAACTGACGCACACAACGCTAGATGCATTTGGTCAGACAGTTAAATGCTTTGCATCTAGTGGCTAGCGGCTGTCAACAGGAATAAGCCTATTCTCTTACAGTAATGGCCCCTGGACACTAGAAGAAGCATGACGATTAAAAGGTGCCCATACACGTTACGACCATCGCAAGACTTTTGTCTTGCGATGGTCGTATGCTTCTTGAAAGCCCGTACGATCTGCCCACCTTGGACGGGCAGATCGTACTTGCGATCATCGAAAGCCCGCGGGCTTCCGATGACGGCAATGCAGAACGGGCAGTGTGCGCGTGCGCACACCGGCCCGTTCCGCAGCTATCGGGCGAGCAGGCTAGAAACCCACCAAGAATCGTACGATTCTCGGCGGGTTTTCGAACATGTTGGCTCGACAAAAGACGTGCGACCGTACAGTAGAAACGGTCGCACGTCTTAGTTCACACTGCTCGATTCTCGTACGATCGCGGGGTTTCGCCCGATTCTCGTACGAGAATCGAGCAGTGTATGGGCACCTTTAAACTGTGGACAGGCACTCTTCCAGTGGTACATACTTGACACTCAGAGAAGCACTAATGCTAAGGATCCAGATTTCAAAAATGTTTACTACAAAGAATTCTAAATCTACATAACAAAGATGAGAGAAAAAAACATACCTGGACAACATTTCATTAGGAGCATTTTCTGCCAATTTCACCAGAACTCTGAGAACCTGTTCCCGGACCTGATCTCTCTTAGAGGTCACAATAGTAGATGACAACAGAAATACAACATTTTTAAATAAAGTGTGCTGATTTTGATGATCACTGTCCAGCCTTTCATGTCTTGAACTATTAGGATCCATCACGGCTTCTGGATTCAAAGATATTTGTGTCCGTTTCTCCCCGTTTGTCAGCAGTAGAGTCTCTACTACCTCTAGACTGTAAAATACCAGGTAATAAAGAATTCCAAGGGAGGCCAGGGCAGGTTCACTAAGGAAAAATATTGCATCCTCAACACTGGAAATTATGCTACGGCCTTTGCTGGAGGATGACAAAGACTGATTATCAGATGAACTCCCTCCAGACTTCTCAAGTGGCTGCAAAGCCAGACAGTAAGCAGAAATATGAAACTCCACTAGAGGCAGTATAAGCACAGCTCCTGGGATTCGGGACATTTTGTTGAGATGCTGCAATCCCCTTTGAGTTTGTGTAACCTTCTTTTGTTCTGCCAAGTCATCACCCAATGCAATGGAGTTTAGTCCAGTAATGGCCAATTTCTGTGCATCTTTCAGAGCAAGACACTGAGTGGAAGACAGCGTAGCGGAAAAAGATTTTCCTGGGGTGCTTAAGAACACAAAATACTAGTTATACATAGGTGGAAAAAGTCAGGTAAAATAAGGCAAGGCATACATGGGCATTTTTAGGTTTCCTGTAATAGCACTTGCATAAACTGATACAAGGCAGATTAGTGGTACATACTGTTGTCTGGCTTAATTCATGTTTTTGCTTTTTAGACCAAAAACTTGATCAAAGAGGAAAAGGTTAAAAAAGAAAAACACCTGTTTGTGGAAACCGTACAAAAATATTATAGTCAAGAACAAGGCATAGTGTGCATACCGGTTACTACCATCATTGTGTGTTGAAAAACTACTATTCCAGATTTTTAGCAAATATAAAGAAGATATGCAATCCTCGGTTAGTCACCCTAAAAGGTTTTTTCCCTCCTCCCCTTAAATAGAGGACATTATCATTACAGAAATTAATGTGATGTTAAGACTGATCTCCTGAAAATGCTAATTTCTTAGTTGTCTTTAAGTTACACACCCAAAGCAAGTGTGCAGCAATTGAAGACAAAACTTCTGATGTGCACACTTGCTCTATGTTGATGACTCATTGAAGCCACAATATTATTAGGACAGCTACACAATTAGCATTTTTAGGAGATCAGCAATAAACGCCTGTGCATTCTGATAAGACAGGAATAAGCTGACTGACAGCACTGGTTACTGGTTCTGATCTGCTTAGCGATAACATGCTAGGGGTCACAAAGGCCCTTTTCTGGTCCACAGGTACTTTGGTTCCCTATAGATGGCAAATTATTTTCAAAGAGAATGTTTTACCCTGGGGTTAATTTATACTAGCGTTTAATGGATTGTTCCTAAAAATTTAGCAAATGAGTATATTGGGCCAACTCTAAACACACTTTCAGCAGCCTTCTCTAAAAAAAAAAAAAAGTGAACCTATTGACCACATTTTAGGTAAATATACTGTAAATTAAAGCAAATTTTAAGCAAATATTCTTTGCACTATTATAGATGAACATCCATTAGTAAAATCTACTCACTTGCTTTTGTGGCCTCTGCGCACAGGTGATCCCTGAAGTACATCTAAGTTACCAATAAGAAGATGGCACAAACCAAATGGACCTCCAGGATGTGATTGTTGCATCAAACTATTTAGTAAAATTGAGCCTAATGAAGTAGGAAAAAAATTAAATCAGCATATTCTAGTAAAATATGGCAAAGACAAACTATACATTTGGACAGAATAACTTACAATCATTAATCAGGCTCAAAAGAAATTTTAGAAAATGAAAATACAGAAACCGATTTATGTATTTGTGATTAACAGACCACTTACACACCTTGGGTGTTCATCCTCTGCATACCGCAAGTCTTAGAAAAAACTTTTGCTTGCCTAACTATTGCATGGGGCACTTCATCCTCTACAAAACAAAGAAAGATAAGCCAGGATTTTTTAAAAGATCACATAATTTCATAGTCAGGGTAAATACAGGAAGAAGCTCTGAAAAGGCTAAGTTTACCTTTCAGGTCATGTTTCATGTTACACCCATATTCAGGATGTAAAATGAAACATGGTCCACTGAATCACAGGGTTCTTATGCTCACAAGCTACTGTTGAACTTTAAAAATGGTGTGGCTGTGCGTGCCTCCCCCCATACAGCCTCATTATCCATTCACAGAGCCTTTGAATGGAGAATATACTTGTCCATCAGCCATCGCGCAGAGGGACATGTAGTTCTATGCAATACAAGTGTGGTCCATTTACTCTTCCCAATGTTCCTGTTACTGAATGTCTGTACCTCAATACTGCCAGGGACGGGAAGGAAAATCAGCAGGAGCCAGAGCATTGCACCCACGATCCACTAATGCTGGTTGCAATGCTATAAAAGCAATGTTTTTCCCTTTACCTCCCACTTAACTAAGTAGGGGGAAAAAAAGGGTGAAAACCTACATTTTAAATTCTTATAATACTCCATACAAACAAGCCATTGTTTCCAAATGTAACATCCCTTGGAAAGATAATAATCTAAAGGTTCCTGGGAAAACGGTCACTGCAGAATTCAAGTCGATAGGGATTGCATTCAAAACACAACTGTGAAAAATATTAATTGATTTACCAGGCACTGTGGATTCCCCAATGGGAAGAGAAGCCTGAACGTTTATTTTAGGCGTGTAATGCTTCCTGAGTGAATGAAGCCAGCACAATTAAAGCTAGCCACAGACATCCGGTGTTGGTTGAGTATTTAGAACACACAAGGATTACTGCAATTAACAATTGTCCCATTAGAATGTATTCTTAGAGACTGTACTAGCAATAATGCTAGAGTATATCTAAAGCCCAAACTTTTCGTTCTTTAGTTATGGATAGAGTGGGGAAGGAAAAGAACCTCTGTCAGAATTTCATTATCCAGCTATGTGATTGCTAGGAAGAGTCGCCTTCATTCACCCCATCTGTACTTAAGTTGGCCATTGATACTTGTTCTGGTGACTACTGTCTAAGAGGAGATTTCCCCTCACTTTTGTGATATTACATCTCACTTCCTGTTGTGTCCACAGGCAGTAGGAAACAAAAACCTAAAATACAAACCAGCAAGTGTTTCAACCATTTCCTAATCTATCCGATGCTAAGGCTAACGACACTGTTAGATTTCCGCATCCACGCTAAACTGCATAGATCAAACAATTCCTGCTGCTGGCTACTATATTCAGCTGCCACATCCCCTGTAGCTGCTGAATACTTAAACAGTGTCTGCATTGGACCAGATGCAGGCACGTTCGTGACGATAATTTGCCACCTGTCAAAAAAAATATGGGTGGTACCAACAGGGCCATCCACAGCTCAAACGTCTCAACTGACTTGGAGGATTTTGGTTGAATCAGGCCAATTCCTGCTGAATTTGGTTTCATCCAACTAAGTCACACAAGTCAAGTGAGAATCATTTAACATTTAGTTTCTTTTTCCCAGAATGCTGAAAAAGAAAAAAATATTATTTCTGTAGCTAATAACTATTACATAAACAACAAAAATCTTTCCATTTATAAAGAGACAAGGAAAAAGATGAATATTAAAAACATCCCCCACTCTCTAGTGTTTTTTCTGTCCATTCATAGGCGTCAGCAATAATCTCATTGTAGAACATTATAGAAAAGACATTTCCATGAAAAATGTCTTCCATTTCAAAAGGTCCTCTATTTACCAATGTGAAGAGTTCAACACTTGCCACAGCCCATTCTCACGATGTCTTATTCAGGACAGATTATATGATGAAATTATTGAGGGGATTGCAGTTCATATTTAATACAAATTCATGTTACCTGTTTTAATGCCTGGGAGATAAGTAGGCTGAGGAGGCACTGGCACAAGTGTCTTGACACTAGTGTTTGCCCTAAATGATTCCTTTGTGGGAAAGCTGATTTTCCCTGGCTGTGGCGAGGAAGATGACTCTACCTTTGTTCTGGAAGGGCTTTTCTTGGGGCTGTACAACAAAAAAAAAAACAAACACAATTTTCAGTTTCTGAAGCCTAAATAAAAAATAAATAGAATATAGACAGCTACAATTTTCTAACATTGAGGTATTTTTGGTGGTCAAGGGGAAACTGCTAAAGCCCAAAATAAACAAAAAGTGTATATTAAAGTTGTATTTCTCTAAGAACTCTAATAAGCAGTAATAAACATCTAGACAACTGAATTCAACTTCAAAGGCTATTTGATAGGCTGTTACAAAAGATGGGGGGAAAAAAAAACACATCTCCTGATCCCCGAGTATCTTGGTTAAAGAAAAAAGTAAATGGAAAAATAAGGTTAAAAAAAAGTCTAGCAAAATAGTAGGTAGACCTTTTCTCAGCAAAGCTGAGGGAAAAGCATCCAAACTCCCGGTTTGACGGCTGGAAACAGCATTTTACAGGGGCATATGTTCCAGATGCACCAAAACAAAAAGATGTAAAAAGTCTTAAAAGTTCAGCCAAAGCCTGTAAACAGAAAATTCTGCAGATTCAGACCCTTGCTTCCTGGGGGGAAGCAGTGGCCTCTGTAGAGGTCTGACATGCCCCCTTGCTGAGTGAGATCCAGAGCTCTCCAATCAACAAGGAACATGAGCTTTGCTAACTGCAGAGCTACAGGTCTGATTCTGTAGGGAGACCTCTACAATAAGACTGCTTCTTCATAAAAGCAGGGGTCTGACTCTGCATCATGCATATTTTTTGTTACTCACAGGCTATGGCTAATTTTTTTTATAAAACTAACAATTGTTTAGTGGTAGAATCTCTGCTTTGTTCAGATTTATTTTAAAATTTGAGTTTGGTGGAGGTGATCAATTCAGTCATATACACTACTGTGCAAAAGTTTGAGAGAGGTGTGGAAAAATGCTGTAAAGTAATAATATGACAGCAGGTGCTCTGGACTGATGAATTAAATTGGAAATATTTTGCTGTAGCAGGAGGCAGTTTGTTCGCCGAAGGGCAGGAGAGCGGTACAATGAGTGTCTGCAGAAACAGTAAAGCATAGCGGAGGTTCCTTGCAAGTCTAGAGCTGCATTTCTGCCAAAGGAGTTGGAGATTTGGTCAGGATCCATGGTGTCCTCAATGCTGAGAAATACAAGCAGATACCATCATGCCATACCACCTGGGAGGCTTGTGACGGGCCCCAAATTTATTCTGCAGCAGGACAACGACTCCAAACATACAGCCAATGTTATTAGAAACTATCTTCAGCGTAAAGAAGAACAAGGAGTCCTGGAAGGGATGGTTTTTCTGGGATTACATGAAGAGACAGAAGGATTTGAGGCAGCCTACATCCACAGAAGATCTGTGGTTAGTTCTTCATGATGTTTGGAACAACCTACCTGCCGAGAGCCTTCAAAAACTGTGTGCAAGTGTACCTAAAACTATAGTATTAACAACTTTCATTTCTGAAAGCATTCTTACTTTACAGCATTTTTTCACACCTGCCTAAAACCTTTGCACAGTACTGTAAAACAGGATATCATCTGCATAGGCAAATAGTTTTTGTTCAAAGGAGCCTATCTGGACCCCATGGATATTCTGGTTCATTCTGAATTTAAGGAGTAGGCCTTCCATTACCAAGCTAAATAACAGGAGTGACACATTGACCAGGGCTGCAGGTTTACCATATAATGATAGTATTTTGTTCAAGACACTAGGGCCATGATGACCAGTCCACCCAATCAAATGTCTTCTCTGTATCGGAAGAGAAAAAGAGGCATGACTGGGTATGTGTGTGTGATCACATCCAGTGAACAATCTGGAATGACCCAAGGAAGTTGTATGTAGCCTCTATCAGGTCTGTCTTTTAGATCTACTTTTGGCTGGTCCTCCAGGGGTCTTGCCGGCGGAGAAGGTCAATATTCTCCACAACTCTCCAGTCAACAAGAGATTGCCATTTTATGCAGTTGCTCAAACAGTGGAGAAAGGGATTGTTGCATCATTAACCAGTTGACATCCGCGGTGTTAAACCCACTTCCTGGCCAGGCCATTTTTCAGTATTCAGCGCTGCGGTACTTTGACTGACATTTATTCCATCATGCAACGCTGTACTGAAATGAATTTTATACCCTTTTTTGGGGACAGATAGAGCTTTCTTTTGGTGGTATTTATTCACCACTGGGGTTTTTATTTTTTACTATAGTAAAGGAAAAATTACCGAAATTTAAAAAAAAAAACAACCTGTTTCCCCTATATTAAATGATAAAACATTTATTATTACCCAATTTTTTGGTAAAATATAAAAGACGGGGTCACGTCGGGTAAAAAGACACCAAACATGTCAAGCCTTAAAATTGCGTGCGCAAAACCTCAAAAAACGATAATACCCAAAATTGGCCATAGGCGACGCTTTAAAAGCTGTTACCGCTCATCAGTTTAGTGTTATCAGTGATTGATGGCCCTAAAATGATTGCTCTCACTGCGACGTTCGCGGCGATATGTAACATGTGTAGCGCAATTGTAATTTTTGCGCGCTGGGGCACCGGACGCGTATTTACGTTTATAGGCGCGTAAACGTGGGGGTGGGGGAGTTAAACATTTTGGGGGGGTTTTTTCCCCTTTTTTTATATGTGGCTTTTATTTTATTTTATTATGTTATGTGTTACTTTTCTTTTTTTTTATTTATATTTTTTTTTTGCACTTATTGTTATTGCTATTATATAGGGGGATAACAACCCCCTATATAATAGCAAAGGCACACTGACAGGTCCTCTTTATGGAGACATTAGGGGTCCCTAGAACTGTGGACCCCAAAAGAAGCTGATGAAGCAGAGATCTATACTATAACAAGCTATAGAAGGATCTGCTTTGTAGAGCGTGGGGGTACATCTATAACAGTGGTTCTCAACTCGTGGGTCGCGACCCAAAAGTGGGTCGCGACACCCTCTGCAGTGGGTCGCGGCGTCATGTCTGCATAGACGCGACCGTCTGCATTAGAGAGAACTAGTCCCCCCCCATTATATAAACATCCACTGGAACTGTACCCCGCAACCGCCACCCCCACACGTTTTAATTTTAATTTTTTAAAATATTTAATTTTTATTCTTTATAAACTTTTACATTTTTTAAAATTAATTTACTTTCAGAAAAATATATATTGCTGAATACTGCACAAGTTGTTTTGTGTAATAAATTAAAATGTTTCATAAATGAAATCATTTTTGGGTCACGCCTTAATGACCAAGGAAACATGTGGGTCCCGAGGTTACACAGGTTGAGAACCACTGATCTATAAGATCTCAATATTAATTCTATTAATTCTGCCAAAAAAACGAGCACATATAGATGATCGGCGGGCTATGGAGCCGCCGATCGTCTATATGTGAAACACCCGGTAACGGGTGTTTGCATTGGTCGGGTCTTTTCTGCCCGTGCGCACGCGAGCAGAAAAAAAATGGCGTCTGGAGACGGCAACCCGCCAATGCTGCGGTGCCGTCCGTCCGTTTTTTTACAACGGGCGGACGGCAAGTGGTTAAAGTGTGCCTCAAAAGGTCAGGAAAGAGACTTCAATGAGCTACATTAAAGTAACAAAAAAACTGCTTAGTATGTATTTTAGCCATAATGCTTCTATAGTCATAATGGGCAGGCATAATGCTCTGCGTGCATTCAGTCAACTTTCACAGTCCACTGGTGTCTACAGACATTTATCTGCTGCAACAAGTAATGGTCAGCTCACATCTCTGGGTATCCTGAGGTTAAAGGGGAGTGAAAATAGAATATTGAGATCTTATAGATGTACCCCCACGCTCTACAAAAGCAGATCCTTCTATAGCTTGTTATAGTAATAAGATGGCAGGAGGAGGTGCAAGGACAGTCTGTCCTCCTGTAGATGTATTTTGACTGCATGCGACACTGAAATGTATACCGGGCTCTCTATTTTTAGGTGAATTGAGTAGCGAGGAGGGAGAGTAGGCTGACATCTTCCAAAGGCAGCCCTATTTTCTTGTCAACTGATCTTTCCCCACGACAGGAAAAAAAGGAAAAAAAATGAGGCAAAGATTGCCGCCTGTCTATAAAAGGAAATTAAAAGGAAGTAATTATCTGCAATGAGAATAAAAATAAAGCATATACCAAAAAAATATGCAAACTGTTTAATTTATTTTCACTTACTGCCAAATAGTACTAAATTGTAACTACATACCTGACCTGGGGCACAGCAGTCCTCCGCTCACAGCTCTGTAGTTTTGATTTCAATTCATTCATCTCTGCATCTTTAAATTGCAATTCTGACTGCAATGACTGAACCTGCAACAAAAGGACACGCCATTGTGCTTACAAAGCCACTACTTATTGTTTTACGTTTTAGTGGTACCTCTCTATAAATACCATGACAATCATTTAAACTAAAAAATATAGCTCCTGATTGATATAGATCCATTTTAGCTACTTAAAGAACAACTATCCTAAAGGAGAACTATAGGGCAACCTTTTTTGCCCATCGTTCTCCTCAGGGTCATGGAAGGACATATACTGTGACCTCTGGTGACCCAAAACTCATTAAATAGCAGGCTATCGCCCACTATATGTTGAGAGCTCCACACCCAAGACATATCCTGGCAATTACTGTTGACATCCACCCAGCTGGCTGATTGACAGCTGACTCTGCTTCTGTAGATGAACAGCCAGCTGTGCCCGCCCTCTTCCCCATCCGTTCCACCAGTCAGCGCTGGAGAAATGGAGGAGGAGGGAATCCCTGTGGGGGGCGGTGACTAACGGTCACCGCCCCCTGCAGGGAGAGGATCGGGAAGTCAGCATTTGGCGGCATGTGTTCGCCGACTTCCTGATCAATAGAGCCGACTTTGTCACAGGTCGGCTTGAATTATGGGGATGAGTGTTTTTCACTCACCCCATAATTCTCCTTTAATGCATGTTATTAAAGTGACACTAAAATCAAGAGTTAAATCTAAAAAATGCAGTACCCTAACTATTAACAAAAATGTATCTTATTTGTGTATCACTCAGCTCTAGATCCTCAAATCACCTCTGAAGTCATGCTGATACTCCTTCCTTCATCCTTTGTTCCTTATGGTCCCTGCGTGTGTAATAAAGTAGCCACCGCTCCAAGCTCACTCGCATGATGACCTACAATCTCACATTAGTTTACTAATTTGTATTGAGATTGTAGTACATCATGGGAGCGAGTTTAGAGTGGTGGCTACTTTACAACACACACAGGGACCACGGGGAGCAAAAGTAGCCACCATTCAGAAGGACCTTGTCAGCGGGAATTCAGAGAGGATTTGAGGATCTACAGCCAATACACAAATAAGATACATTTTTGTGAATAGTTAAAAAGGTACTTGAATGCATTTTTAAGGTTTAACTACTGAATTTACTATCACTTTAAGTAATTTTCATATACACAAAATATAGGCATTGGGACTTCCAAACAAAAATGATCATAAAAACGATCATTAAAACAATTTCAGTTTTTCATTGAACATTTTTACATGGTGTCCAGCAGCTTACATCACATTCCAAGATAAAACATACTTTTTTAAGAAGTTCCTTTTCCTTCTCACATTGTAGCTGAGTCTTCTCATGTTCCATTTGTACGTGTGCAATCTTCTGCTGTTCTAGGCTGGACTCTGTTTGATGAAGTGCATCTCGCAAAACTTTAATTTCACCATTTTTGACCAATAATTCATCTTGAAGAGCTGTGAGCTAAAACATTGAGTGAAGGTATCAATAAATAAACCTTATGTTAAACTTTTCAAATAAAAAGAAATAAATATGCCATAAAACTAGCATATTTTAGATCTGGTTTGTTATCTATAATTATCTATAATTCCCCCATTTTGTTTTGTATAGAATAGGGTAAGGTTAGAACCTATGCCAGGTTATCACTGCTATCCAAGGTTCCGTTAGAGAGATCTATCCTCATTTACTGTCCTGGGGACAATCTTTTTACTGGAGAGGAAGTGAAGAAATCTCTCTAACAGAGCCTGCAAAAGCTGCTGCCATCAATTTCAAAATGACTTTATTTTCTTCTTTCATTTTCTCAGTTTAAACATTTGGTATGTTTTCTATTGTGAAACAAAATATGGCTTTATGAGATTTACAAATCATTGCATTCTGTTTTTATGTTGGTTTTCCACAGCATCCCAATTTTTTGGGAATTGCGGTTGTATTTCAAGGCCACCTTAAGTCAGAACTTACTCAAGTGGCCTTTCCAGCTTTTTATACATTTGTTTCTTTTACCTACAAATAGGTATAATTGCCCAATTATTTAATCTACATTTTGGAAAATGCATCTGAGGTTTGTGGAATCATTAGGTTATATAATGGCCAAAAGGACCTGGGATGAAACTAGGGATTTTTTTTGCAGGATCTGTCTCAACACTGGCATCTTCAAAGCTACAAAACAATTGCAAATTATTCAACCTGGCCAGAGCTTAGGTTAAGCTGGTCGTACACTATGTGAATGTCGGATAGTTCTTGATGAACCGGCCAAAATTTGCACAGTGTGTGTCCTCTGAGCAAACTTCCACCCGGCATCCCACGATCAGAAGATTAAAGGAGTCGGGTGGAAAATTTTTGGTCCAATGATGCTCGCTGTCATAGACTTACCCGGCGCGTTCCTTCAATCCAGCGATGCGCCATCCAGGCCATGGCGTCACAAGGCTCCGCCCATGGGGCGCGGCCCCGCAGTGAAAAGGTGAGCTGCTTCATCACTCGGCACCCTTACTCTAACGCCGCCATAGCAGCCAGTGCTTGGAGCCGAACATGCGGAGCTAATCCTCACAGTTACCCCTGAAGTCAGCAGCAGGACAAACCGCCAGAAGTCCTCTCTCTCTCAGACCGGTGTATAGCTGACACAACTAAGCGCAAGTAACCTGGTTCAATTATATAGTGGATCACTGCCACTGAAACTTACAAATATCATTAGTGTCAATACCTGCTCTTCCTAACATCTTCAGCAGCCTGAACCTGTCACTCACCTGCATCCTACTTAATTACAGTGGTGATCTCCTGTGTTGTTTGCTGTATACATACCTATGCATAAGGATTAAGTTCTGTGGAATAGACGCTTTACCCTGCTTGCTTTGCATGTGTGGATTGTTGTAAATAGCTTCCAGCGTGCCATATCTTGCACACACACAGCTCCTATATAGTTTGTCCTCATTGCTTTGATTGAGTACCCTCTGCCTACCCGTTACTTTATACTGGTGTAGTATTTACATTGTCAATCTGTTACACATCAGTTATAGTGCTGGCACTTACCTGCAGCCCTCATTATGCAACATACCAGTGAGTAAAGGGGAACCCCCTCTCTACTACATCTCCAATTCAAATCCTATAGTTCCAAGGTGGTACATGATGCGTACGGTCTCCCTACAGCACCTTCGCATAGATACTCCAATACCAGTTCCGCAGCTGCGATCCAGTGTGGTTACACTATCCCGGCGAACCTGACACTCGCAGCCAATCAGCTGCAAACACCGTTTGGGTATTCTGACAGCGGCAATACAATGGAAACAGCGAGGGATTCCTCCATCCACGCTGCTTAGCGTGGATGGAGGAATCTGTGATATTTTCTCCTTTCGGCCGAATGAAAAAAAATAGTACTAAAGCTATTCTATAGGGTCTAAAGCTATTTAGTAGGGATGGCCCGATACCAATACTAGTAACATTATTGGGGTCGATACAGGGCATTTTCACAAGTACTTGTGCTCGTGAAAATGGCCCGATCTTAAGGCCGAAACCAGCCCTTTACATTTTTAAACCGCAGCAGCTGGCTGAGTTCCCGCGCTTGTGGCAACCTCAGGCCGGCTGCTGGGGACCTGGCAGTAGCTGGCCTTGGCAGTGCCTGTCCGGTTCTTTATCTCCTCCTCCTTCCCAGCACAGCCATGGACAGCCCCACACTACACGTACAGTCCCGGAGCTGGTACCCCGCCAGTTCAACTCTCCACCCACCATTTCGGGCTGGCACCCGCCCAATCAACATAGCCACTGCCTGCAGAGCTATGTATATTCCGCCCTGGCAGCATGTGTATTCAGCCCTGGCGACATGTGTATTCAGCCCTGGCGACATGTGTATTCAGCCCTGGCGACATGTGTATTCAGCCCTGGCGACATGTGTATTCAGCCCTGGCGACATGTGTATTCAGCCCTGGCGACATGTGTATTCAGCCCTGGTGACAAACTGCCCTAAAATCATCAGTCTGTATGGTTTAAGAAAAATGTCACATGTTCCTTTAAGAAAAAGTATCGGTAATTGGTATCAGCAAGTACCTGAGGGAAAGTACTTGCACTTGGTCTTGAAAAAGTGGTATCAGGACATCTCTACTATTATGGGTCTAAATAGGTTTAGACCCTTCTCTACGATGAGAAAAACTGACTGCCTACAGTTGTCTGAAATGACAAAATGATTGTTCCAAACAATGCAGGATTTAAGTGAAGAAGCACTTTATTACAACCCTTTCCTTTTCCAATGTTTACAGAAACTGTTGCAGAATATGAACTATTCAGGCTATAAAATAACTCACCAGTGAATAAACAAAAACTATGCTACAGCCTGTCCACAGAGACCCAGTTATTCCCATTTGGGTGCTGCCATCTATCATTTGTTCAGTAGAGTGAAATGTGGAGCCAGGCTGTCAATTACAATCCAGCATAGAAAAGCACACCCCTCCCCTTCCTGCGATAGTCGAGTGTCATTAACTTCTGTAAGGCAGTAGAAATATGTTTCACCAATCAGGAGGATTGGTTAGCAATGGAAAACCGGAGTTAGAACTTATTGGTATCTCTATTTCCAGTAGTCTTGCAGGACTGTCCCTGAGAGTGTAGCTCCTCCTCTGGACAGGAAATGCATCACCCAAATCAAGATCAAAGGATACCTCCACCATATCCCCTCAATAATCACGAGAACCCCAGGTCTGAACTGGAAAAGAACACAAAACAGCACAAAACAGAACACAAAACAGTAGAAAACATAACTTCAAAAATACTAGGGTGGGAAGTCCACTATCCTGGAGGACTACTGGAAATAGAGTTACTGGTAAGTTCCAACTCTGGTTTTCCCCCAGTTGTTTTCCAGGTCAGCCCCTAAGACAAGAACCAGACTAGGGTTCCACAGCCTGCAGTACTTTTCTTCCAAACGCTTGGTCTTTGCTGGACAATAGATCCAAGTGGTAATGTTTGACAAATGTTCCAAAGCTAGACCAGGTAGCAGCCTTATTCTTCTTATTCTTATACTTGTTCAGTCGTAGCTCCAGCTCTTTCAGCCCACGATTTTGCTGTAGATCTGGTAGAATGTGCCTTAAGGAAAGCTGTTTGAGAAATATTTTCTCCACTGTGGAAGGAATTCCCCCAGTCTTCCTCCCACTGGAGAGCAGAAGTAATTGCGGTTTGGGCTTCTGGGTAGGGGGGTTAATTGGACAGGGCCCCCTCTTACCTTACCCTTGTGCCCTGTCTAATTCTTCTTGGGACCCACTTCCTTATTTTCCTGTGCTCCTCTTTGGCATCGAAAAAATCTTCTATTAAAAACATTATTTTTCTTTTCTGGGAAGGATTTCTTTTTGGCAGCTGTTCTGTCCAGTGCTGCCTCGAGTTCTGGACCAAACAGTAAATCCCTTGAAAATCCCAGGTTTTGAGCCACAGTGTTCTGCGAGAGGATTTGGCAAGCACAGAAGATCTGGCCGACATTCTAACAGCCTCACCGGAGGCATCTGCCACATATCCTACTGCCTTGAAAATGATGGGGAAAGACTCCAAAACCTGCTCTCTTGGAGCCTGGCTTGGACTACAAGCTAGAATTCTAGATTTGTGGCAAAACATGTAGTAGCCAATGCGGGCTTTAGATTTGCTAAAGTTGAATCCCATGCTCTCCTCAGCAAAACTTTATTTTTTTCTGTCCATGGGATCATTTAGATAACCCATATCTTCAAAAGCCAAGCCAGCTTTCTTGGAACCTTAGAAAGAGGAGCCTCTAATTTGGGCATTTTGTTCCAAATTAAAGATAGGTACTCATCAAAAGGAAATCTCCTTTTTAGGTTGTTAGACAGAACAGGCTTCTTTTCTGGCTTAGACCCTCTTTCAAAATGGATTTAGATATAAACCAGAAAGGCTCTTGCCTTCTTCCTCTGCAACCCCTGGTATATTAAATCGTGCCTGGATAGTCGCACCTTATCCTCCTCAATCTCTAAGGTTTAATAAATAGTCTTTAATAGATCATCCACATCTTCAAGAGACAACTTGAATCTGGACAAAAAAGCGGGTTCATCCTGAACGCTATCTACCTCAGAAGATCTATACTCATAGGAATGACCCGAATCACTAAACTCATCCAAGGCAGATGGTTTATGAGATCCCTGTCCTGTTAAAGAAGCAGGGAGCGTAAACACAGAAGTGGACTCTGTTGGCATTCTCATATCTTCAATCAATGATCTAAAGGAATGAAAAGTGGAGGCCAGTTCTTCCTTGACTGAGGCCAACAGACTATTACATGAGGCAGCAGATTCTTCTTTAAACAATCAGTTGATGCAAGTTTGACATGATGGGGGGAATTTATCAAAACTGGAGCAGACAAAACTTGGTTGCCGTGGGCAACTGCTCCAATCAGCTTCCATCTTCAATTTGTTCATTTAAGCTTTGAAAATGAAAGGTGGATGCTGATTGGTTGCCATGCACGTCTGCTCCATATTTTCTCTGCTCCAGTTTTGATAAATTCCCCCCAATGGCTTAGAAGAGGAAGCATTGAGTTTCACCCCACACACTTCACACTTTTTGGGCACATTCTTAACCTTATCCGGAGTTTTAGCCTACAACAAAACAAAAAAAGCCTGCCTGAGAACACTGGCCAGGAGGCCTGCCATAAGAGTCCACCTGTGCAATCACAACAAAGGCACCACACCAAAAATTAGCCCTCAGCGAGTAATGCACAGAATACCAGCTCAGGAGAGAGGCACAAAAGAAGCGCTGCCTTACCTGAACAGAAGCGGCACTTGCCGTGGCTGCATCCACTGGAGTAGCTGGCTAGGTAGACTTCATGTCCCCTGCTTCCTCCACTCGCGTTGTCCACAGGCTCTCCTGAGGAACCACGCTTTTAAAAAGCAGCGCCACTGTCGCCCCTCCTCTTCATCCGTGCTCGAAGGAGGCTTGAAGTGCGGGCCCCTGGTGCCCAGAAGTCACGATTCCCCTACCGGACGTGACATCAGACGCCACTCGGTCAAGCACTGGAATGCAGATATAAGAGGAAGGCCCTGTTCGCACGTTAACATGCCTTCGCCGCTGTGACCAGGCACCAGGAGTGGAACAGCAACCTCCATTTCAGACCTTCACCAGGTACTGAGGAGGAGAAGAGCCAGGACCTCCTACATCACATATCAGCCACAAGAGAGGTACCGGGGCACATTGAGCTCACCATACATAGTCCCTACAGAGAGAAAAGCTCCAGGGTGACACATTTCCTCCAGAGGAAACACGATAACTGAGGGGATGTCACGTACCGCAGGGCCGAGCCCCTTGCGCCAGGTCTGGATCCCAGTAGCAGGAAGCAGGTGAGATAAACAGTCCAAATACAAAGTCCAGAGGGGTGAGACAAGCCGTAGTAAAGGAGTTCCGTGCTCAGGGCAGGCAGCGTAGAATCAGTAGTCCAGAAAATAGTCCGAGGGTCAGGTAGCCGGGAGTCCAAAACTGGGGGTAGGAATGCAGGAACAGGGGACGAAGATGCAGGAACAAACGCTGAGTCTCTGTGAGCAGGGCTTCAGAATAACCTAGCACTGAGCTAGTAGTTTTGTGAGGGTTTTAAAGCCCAGGACTAGAGGCAACGCCCCTGTTCTTGTGGAAACAGAGGTGGAGTTAGGGCGGTGCTCAGTGTTTTGCTGAAGGCTTGTGTTCCTTGGGAAGAAGCAAGTTTTTGCATGTTGCCAGTTGCTGGATCTCTATTGGGGCTTATAGACGTCACACCAGGATTCCCCGCATGTGACACCACCAAGGGAGATGGCCCCGGCGCCATGACTACCGCAGCTCCTGAAATGCACGCACCATGACGCACAGAACCATGCTTCCGAGGCATAGCCACAGCAGAGAAATGCTGGGAACGTGTCTGTGGTCCCAGGAGATCTAGAGAGGGGTATCTCCGCACACTGCGGCTGCCAGGTGAGGGACGCCTCCGTGCGCCATGACAGGGGATGTGGTGGAGGTATCCTTTTATCTTGATTTGGGTGACATGCTTCCTGTCTGGAAGAGGAGCTACACTCTCAGGGGCTGCCCTAGAAGACGACTGCAGGAAATGGGGGTTTAGCATGACTTCACAAAAGTTGAAATTTGCATATAACAGATATTTACTCTGGCAAGACTACACATGTACACATGTGGAAATGCAGAGTGCATTTGAAACAGCTAATGGAGTAAATTATGAGGATATCATTGTTAAGACAGTTAGGAAAAAGTCTGACTTTTATAACTATTGATATAAGAGACTCAAATTAATGCAGCTCTGTATTCATTCATTAAATAGATGCTTTGATGTATTTTTAATGAAAGCAGTACAAGTACCTGAATTCACAAGTACCTGGTATCACCCTCTTGCAGTCCACTGTATAGCAGAGCTCAGATGAGGGGAGCGAGAAGCAGCACAAGGAGCCAATGAGTTGTACTGCAGTGCAAGGAATATGCTGATAGGAGAAGAGCGAGCAGAGAGCGAGCGCAGAGACCTGATCATTGTTCTGCTGCTTCTCTTTTTACTAAACAGTCATTGGCTGTTGGGGGGGGAGAGAGATATGCAAGTGTTATTTACCTGCAGCAGGACTTCCATTTTTAACAGTAGTGCCATATGTCTGGGCCATATTCATTGTCCTTATTCATTTGGAGAGTCCCAATGTAACACTAGAAGTACAAGTATCAGGAAACTCACCTTTTGCTTTAAATCTTCAAGAGGAGACTGCAAAACCTCCAGGTCAAAAGCATTATTATTATGGGAATCTAGTATAAGAACAAGACAGTATTATACAAAAATATGATAGACAGCCGTAATATGCATAATACACTGATATATAATTATATCAACCAGAGACAATTCTTTTTTACATTTTCCCAGATGTTTAATAGTTGTTTAGGTTATAGAAATACTCTAGTCTAGATAAAAATAATTTTACAAGGCGCATGCGCGAAGCCGCCGATGGAGGTCGCCTTTTCCCTCCTTCTCTTATTCTTTCTAATGTCAGTCCCTTCCTTTAATTCCCTATGTCAGCCCCTCCCTCCCCCTCGATTGTCTTGTCCATTGTATGTCTACTAGTTTTATATGGTGCCGCTGTTTGAAGCACTTAGATACCGGATAGATTTTTGACCTTTCGGTAAATACCAGGCGTTTAGCCTGTTCTCCCCACAAACACTAGAGTGCCAAGAATCTTTTATCGATTGAGAGCCCGATACTCATAGAATGGGCCTCCCCCTCGAAGTTTACATCTAGAATCTTCAATACGCTTGTTGCGACTATACGGCTTACTTGGCCTAAACAGTAGTAGGTTGATAAGAGTGAAAGCTACAAAGATTATTACGATGCACACGCCTATATTCTATATTGTATGTAATAATTCAGGACATTGTAATGCTTGGATAATTGCTACCGTCTGGAACTGCCTTTTTGCTTGCATAACTATGTAAACTTGTCAAGTGCTATTAATGGATTTTAATGGAAAGGTACTAATTGTTGAGTACTCAGTATAAAGATCCCTTGTATGTTTATAATTTAATAAAAATTATATGGAAAAAAAAAAAATTTTACAAGGTGGCGCTGCTTAAAGGAGAACTATGAGGTGAGTGCTTTTCACTCACCTCATAGTTCTAGCCGACCTGTGACAATGAGACTGTCACAGGTCGGCTCAGTAGAACGGGAGGTGATCGAACACATACCGGGTTCGCTCGCCTCTCGATCCTGTCACGGCTCTCTGCCGTGACAGGGGGAGGGGCTGGATTCCCCTCTCCCCGCTCCGATCTGCCAGCGCTGACTGGCGGAACGGACGGGGGAGGGGGCGGGTACAGCTGGCTCTGCCTATCTAGAGGCAGAGCCAGCTGTCACTCACGCAGCTGGGCGGATCCCGTCATCTACGTCGGGATCCGCTCCGGCGTCTCAGTATACCGCGAGCTGTAGCTCGCGGTATACTGAGCTTAGGGTAACTGGAGGACGCTAGTTTGTGTCCTCCCGTTACCCTACGGAGAACTATGGGGAAAAACACTGACCCCATAGTTCTCCTTTAAATCAGAAACAGTCATTTAACACTTCCCTTGCAGAGCAGCCCAGCTAATAACAGCACTGAAAACTGTGTCCACCCCTTCATCTACATCATGCTGGTAGTAGGCAGTAAGCTTTTGAACAGAATAACAGCTGACACACAGAAGAAGATTTTGTTCCTGCTGTAGACAAGCTCAGTTTTCCTAGGGTGGGAAAGTCGGCTGTTCTCAAACACAAAAGCCTTTTTCATATATCAATACATCAGCAAGGTTTATTGTACCGCATGCAAACTTGGAGCACTGTTCTCTGCCAATATAGCCAATAGTCCAGATATCTGATCAGTGTATATTTTAGTCCTAATCATAATAAAAAGAAACTATGTACAAAACCAATATACATTTACTATGTCATCGCACATAGTTAGCCATTTTCAAACAGTAATCAGGAAAACATACTTGAGACAACTCTTTCTTGTCTGTGCGGTGCTGGTTTACGTGGCTGCGGAAAAGTAGATGTTGAAGGTTGGTTATCTGACAGCACATTGCCTTGATTTCGATTAGGATACAGATTTACTGAATTGCAGTCCTGCGTGTAGGCCTGTGAGGCCAAAATATCAATTTCCTCCAAATCATCAGCTGTAAAGTCTTCATTGTCACCAAAAACATCATCCATGGCTTTGCTTTTTGAAGCATTTGCTGGTCGATGGCGTTTTGAAGGAGGACAGCTACCCCGATCATTGCATGGAGGATAGGCTTGCTGAATTGTTGCAGGGGAGGAGTTAGTATTTTTACAACCTGTACCATAAAGCATTGAAACGTCCCTTTTTTTGGTAGCAAACAAAGGGTTTGCTGACATAGCTTGCAAGCCCGATCCCCTGCAAAATTAAAATAGCACAAGTCAGACAAAGGACTAATTACATACAGTACTAAATGATTAAAGCTGTCCTACACAAAGTTTATCCACATATATATATATATATATATTAGGGAGAGTAGGTAGGGTGTTGAAAGGTGTACAAAAATGTACTGCTCTGGTCTAAGGTGCAGATCCTGTAGACATGGCAGAGATGTACTTGGATAGACACCTTGGCTCCTCTCACCACATGCACTCTGGAGTGAATGTGGCGTAGAACTAGGTCTCTACAAGACTTCACACTATATAAAGCTGCCCTCCTAAAATATAATTCCTCCCTCCATGCTGGCAAACAGACTTATTTTGTCACTTTCATTAACACACTAATCCAGTCCTCATCAACTCTTTTCTAATTTTAACACTCTACTATGTCCCTCACACCTTCTGACTCATTCACTGCCCGGGACATTGCCATTAATTTCAAACACAAAATAGATGCAATCCGTGAAGGAAATTTCCACTGTCCAGTCACCTTCCCCTATTAATGTACCCACCATTGCACTTGCTACTTTCCTCTTTTGACCCTGCCACCACAGAGGAGGTTAGAAAGCTTTTCTCTGACAACCCCCTCACCATTTTCCCCGTCTAACCTGTTCCCTCACAACTACTTCAGTCGCCCTCTTGCTCTATCCTACACTCTAAAACATGCACTGGTCACCCCAATACCGAAAAAACCTTCACAGGACGCCAACAACCTTAACAATCTCAGACCAATCTCCTTACTCCCCTTCACCTCCAAACTCCTAATCTACAACCACCTGAGCCGCCACCTCACTAATAACAATCTCCTTGACCCCTTATAGTCTGGCTTTTGTCCCCAACACTCCACTGAAACCGCCCTCCTAAACTCACTAATGACTTACTAACTGCCAACACTGGCTACTACTCCTTACATTTGCTATAAAACTTTTCTGCTGCTTTTGACACAGTTGACCACCCACTGCTTCTCAAAAAACTCCACTCGCTTGACCTATAAGTCTCTGCTCTCTCAATGTTCTCCTCCTGTCTATGTGCTCCTTTAGTGTCACCTACAAATCTAACTCCTCCCCTCCTCTTCCTCTGGCGGTACCCCAAGGCTCTGTCCTTGGACCCCTTCGCTTCCCTGTCTAAATCTCCTCCCTTGGTCAGTTGATCACCTCACATGGCTTCCAATACCATCTCTGTGCTGATGACACTCAAATATATGTCTCCACTCCACAACTCAACTCACCCCCTCAGTGTCCTTGCATATCACTAATCTACTAACTGACATATCCGTCTGGATGTCACAACACTTCTTAAAACTTAATCCCTCCCCCCATGTCAAGGTGCTATGTGTCATCCTTGACTCGGACCTCACCTTTCTGCCCCACATCCAATCACTATCCAAATCCTGCCTTCTTTACCTTCATAACATCTCCAAAATACATCCCATACTCACCAATAAAACCTCAAAGCTACTCATACACTCACTTGTTATCTCTCATCTTGACTATTGCAACTCCCTCTTTATTGGCCTACCACTGCACAGGCTATCCCCCCTTCAGTCTATTATGAATGACCAAAGGATAACATTTAAAATATTAACAAACACTTTCAAAGCCATCCTCAACTCTGCCTCCGGCTATATCTCCAACTTTGTCTCAAAGTATCATTCTAACCGTCCTCTCCTCCCAGGACCTGCTGCTCTCTAGCTCCTTCGTCAACTCCTCCCATGCTCACCTCCAGGACTTACTCCTTACTCCAACCTGTCCTTCTATCGCCTAACTCAGACTGCCTTTAGGTGATCACTAAAGACTCATCTCTTCAAGGAAGCCTATGCCACCCCAAACTAACCACTGAACTATCTTTCTCAAACAATTCATCCCAACACAGCTACCACCTCATGTATCACTTGCCCCTCCCTCTTAGATTGTAAACTATCAGGGGCAGGGCCCTCCTTACCATCTTGTCTTGAATTTTATTGTAATGTCTTCCCTATATTGTGAAGCGCTGCAAAACTGTTGGCACTATATAAATCCTGTTTAATAATAATATAATAATGGTGGGGTCATCCTTCTATAAAGCCCAATACTCCCAATGGAAGCATGTAGAAATGGTGGTCTTCAGGCCAATTGACCTTGTAGGATCTTAGATTTGTTTTTGTGTTATTGATCCCCAGATCGATTAATATCCAGAAGCACATGATTTCTAACAGAACCCAGCAATGATTAATTAGATATCTAATCCTCTGCAAACATGATTTACCGATTAATCGAACTTAATAATCGGCTAACTAATCGATTTTGAAAATAATCGTTAGCTGCAGCTCTATCTGATTCCTCGATCTTTCCAACACATTGTAATTGTTCTGTAATTTTATCAGTATGCATGCCTAACAGGATTATAAACTGCAATAGTATTATTTCACAGAGATAACAGTACTGCAAATCAGTTAGAAACATTATCCATATCCTTGCAATTTATGTTAAAATTTTATGGGGACAGATAGAGCTGTCTTTTGGAGGTATATTATCACCACTGGGGGGGGTGTTATTTTTTTTAAAAACATTTATTCTTACCCATATTTTTAGTAAAACATAAAAGTTGGGGTCACGTTGGGTAAATAGACACCAAACATGTCAAGCCTTAAAATTGCATGCATTCTTTTTTAATTTTTTTATGCTTCTTTATTTTTTTATGCTTCTTTAGTTTTTGTATTACTTTTTTTTTTTTTTTTTTTACAAACAACTTTATTGCTATTACGTGGGGGGACTAAGAAGCCCCCTATGTGATAGCCAATTTACATGACAGGTCCTCTTTATGGAGACATCAGGGGTCTCCAAGACCCCTAATGTCACCTAGGGACCCCCAGAGAAGCTGATGAAGCACAGATCTGCTTCATCAGCTTCTGTAGCTGGAGAGTGACACTGAATGCAGGAAGGGATGTAATATACATCCCTTCCTGCATTCGGGGACAGAGAGGAGATCAAAGGGAGTTCGTGTACTGAACTCCCTTTGATCTCCTGTCACAGAGCCGTGACGGTCCCGGCCGCATCGGATCTCGGGACCAGCAACGGCAGTGACAGCTGCTAATACAAGCGATCGAGTGTCTGTAGAGACGCTCGATCGTTTGAATGTAAAGCTCCCGGCCGGCCGTGTAATTACAACGGCCATCCGGGAAGCTGCTCATCAGGCTCCACTGTCCTTTAGTCACAGACGAGCAGACGAGTGGATTTTTCAAGCCCTGACTATAGGTCTAACCTCTGAAAGCAAGAGTCTCACTCTGCAGCTGCTGGCAGGAAACATGTTTTATATTGAGAAATGTAGATGCTTTAAAAGGAAAAAAACTAAGACATTGAACACCTTTTATTTCAATGTACCTAGAATGTACAAAACAGATTTAAATTAAAGGTTTATTTGGTCTTTAAAATGCTACTTATGGAGACTCTGTTAAAGTTACCTACAGTAATCTTCATGTAAGGCAACATTTCTCCACAGACCACTAGTCTAAGGGGACACAACAACTCTCACAGTCTGCATTTCTTTTCTGGCCATTATGCATTTCCTTTCATGAGTACTACTGTAAATACCTTGTTGCATAAGTCAGGCAGTTGTTATAAAACGATCAAATACGCTAGGTGCATCATATCCTTCAATCTTATATTGAAAACATTGCACAACTCACTGAGCAGGCTAATGTACAAGATGTAAATGAATGTATTTTTAGCAGGGGGTTCCTGAGACCTGATAGTTATTTAAAAAGTTTGAGGAAGGCCGATCTAAAGTATAACGCAGGCACTTCCAGGTGCCTGTTTATCATTCCAGATACCAGAGGCCACCAGAGGAAATGATGGGAGATCTTTCCAATAGGTACAAAGGCAAAAACACATGTAGGGAAGTCATATATTGCACAGCATCACATAGACACGTAAAATCTCCCCATTACAAACAGAAAAGAACACCTAGCAGAAATTGTAAATGTTCCTTACTCGATCCAAAACAGAGAAATAGCTATATAACAGACTATATTTTTGTTCTTGTGTTTATATATGTTTATACAGTCGCAGTGACTCAGATAAAACCTCTATGTCCAAGCACAGAAGCTGCCTCAAGTTACAATGTTACATGAAGCCCAAATGTAGCCAAATCACACCTATCAGGTTATTATTGCTTTCTCTATTTGGGGGATTTCTTGTAACTGGGCTATAAATTAGGAGGAATCTCTCCAACAGGGAAGAGGAGGAAGTATAACACTTGTTTTAGTAGTTGGGAAGGAAAAGAACTTCTGATAGATTTTCACATTTGTCTTTTACTTGTTGGGGTGATTCACCAAACTTCCCATATAATACAAGGTTAGGGAAAGTCTGTCCAATGGGGACACCGACAGCAATAAGACCCTGACTGAGAATTTAACGGCACATTCAGACAGTGAGCTTAAAGTCAGGTATACACATTTCTATTTTTTTAGTTCTACCCGTGGGCTGGACGAAAATACTAGCGCAGATTCCTCCATCAATGTTTATGAGCATTAATGGACGAATCCCCCACTGTCTGCATTGTATTGTGACAGTGGCTGCCAGCTGATTGGCTGCAAGCTCTATTTGGCCAAGTGCAATGTGCGAATTTCACCCACATCATCAGGAACCGGCTGAAATTCTTCCTGTGTATACACTACTTAAATAAAAATGTAAAAAAATAAATTTTAAAAAAAAGTGATTAAAAAAAAGAAAAACAATAAAAAAATGTAAAACTAACCCTGCCCCTCCTGCCATTTTCCACTGATGGGGGGTGGGGGTCGGCGGGGCCTTGGGGCAGCAGGGAGAGTAAATCCGGCCCTGCCTGCCAGCATGATCTTCCCTGCACTGGGCAATCCCCACTTACTTCTATAGGACTGACTCCTAAGGGCTTAGTCACATGGGCATTAAAAACGTTGCGTACAGCATCTGTATACGTCCCTATGGTCCTATTCAGTCAGGAGCATCTGGTAGTCTAATGTAGTGTAACTGTAAGCCCACAACTGTACCCAGGGCTGTAAATGTCAGCATATTCACACTGTATACATGTAAATGTTTGCGCTAATGTTTACATGTGGACAGTGTACAACATACATGCACCTAATTGGCCGCCGCTGGTGCTCAAGGCTGACATGTCAATATCACCAATCTGAGCCGCTGATTACACATTGCAGTTTACATGTCGGCCCCTAAATGAGATGTTTATGTGGTGATGAAGCTTGCACAACATGACCTCAGCTAATTCTGAATAAGTGAAGGTTGAGGTGACCGTGTGCTTGTGACACCACTGCCTGAACGACTTATTTAGGGCTGACATGTAAACAAGAGTGTGTAGTTTGCAGCGCTGACCGGCCCTGAGCAGAGGCGGCAGCAGCAGCCAATAGGGTGCATGTACAGTATGATGTAAGCGGTCTGCATTTAAACGGTCTAGGAACGTTAAAGGAGAACTATGAGGTGAGTGCTTTTCCCTCCCCTCATAGTTCTAGCCGACCTATGACAATGAGACTGTCACAGGTCGGCTAGAACTATGAGGTGAGTGCTTTTCCCTCCCCTCATAGTTCTAGCCGACCTATGACAATGAGACTGTCACAGGTCGGCTAGAACTATGAGGTGAGTGCTTTTCCCTCCCCTCATAGTTCTAGCCGACCTATGACAATGAGACTGTCACAGGTCGGCTAGAACTATGAGGTGAGTGCTTTTCCCTCCCCTCATAGTTCTAGCCGACCTATGACAATGAGACTGTCACAGGTCGGCTAGAACTATGAGGTGAGTGCTTTTCCCTCCCCTCATAGTTCTAGCCGACCTATGACAATGAGACTGTCACAGGTCGGCTAGAACTATGAGGTGAGTGCTTTTCCCTCCCCTCATAGTTCTAGCCGACCTATGACAATGAGACTGTCACAGGTCGGCTAGAACTATGAGGTGAGTGCTTTTCCCTCCCCTCATAGTTCTAGCCGACCTATGACAATGAGACTGTCACAGGTCGGCTAGAACTATGAGGTGAGTGCTTTTCCCTCCCCTCATAGTTCTAGCCGACCTATGACAATGAGACTGTCACAGGTCGGCTAGAACTATGAGGTGAGTGCTTTTCCCTCCCCTCATAGTTCTAGCCGACCTATGACAATGAGACTGTCACAGGTCGGCTAGAACTATGAGGTGAGTGCTTTTCCCTCCCCTCATAGTTCTAGCCGACCTATGACAATGAGACTGTCACAGGTCGGCTAGAACTATGAGGTGAGTGATAAGCACTCACCTCATAGTTCTCCTTTAAGTTCTTATTCTACGGGCAGCACAGTGGCATGGTGGTTAGCGCTTCTGCCTTGCAGCACTGGGGGTCCCTGATTCGAATACCGGCCAGGTCACTATCTGCAAGGAGTTTGCATGTTCTCCCTGTGCTTGCGTGGGTTTCCTCCTGGTACTCCGGTTTCCTCCCACACTCCAAAGACATGCTGGTAGGTTAATTGGCTCCTCTCTAAGTTGGCCCTGTATGTATGTGAAATAGGGACCATAGATTGGAAGCTCCTTGAGGGTAGGGATTGATGTGAATGTGTGACTATGTAAAGTGATGTGTAAATTGTCGGCGCTATAGAAATACCTATAATAAATAAATAAAATTCACACATGGGTGTGTCAAACAAGAACAAAAGTGCAGACTTTGGAGGTGCCTTCACAAAATGCACTTGTAGTGCCATTACGAACACGTAGGGAAAAAAATGTGGCGCACATGCCGTATAATTTGCTACACGCGTGACTTTTCCTGCATTTGGCACCTATAGAAATCAATGGGGACGCATGTCAAACACAGGAAACATACGTCCATGAATGTGCGGAACGCGTGTCACCGCTACGCCTATGTGTGAAGGGGACCTAAATGAACGCAGTCACTTTAAAGTGGACGTTTACCCCCTTTGACTACAAATCACATCAGCGTGCAGCTCTGCATGCTGATATTAAATCTTCTCACATTCAATTGCTAAACAAACATGTTCATCCACTTCATGGTTCTCTTTGGCACAAATAATCTTAACTAACTATACTAGAACCCTCTCTATCTCCTACAACACACTACATAGGGCCGCGGTGTCAGCAGCCTTATATAGTGTGCTGCAGGTACTTAGCTGTGAGACATGATTGGGCAGAGTCATCGTGACTTTGCCCAATCATGGCTCTATATTTGTACTGAGCCCTGATTGGCACAGTCTTGCACCTGACCTGTGGTCAGGTGCAAGACCGTAGCCAATTACCGTTTCGGACGGTGCAGTGCATTGTGGGATGTCCCGCGGTCGAACAGACCGCGGACATCCCATAATGTTCGGCGAACGTTAGAACATGCTATGTTCGAGTCGAACATAGGTTCGACTCGAACGCGAAGCCCATCCCTACTGGTCACATGTGCCAGAGTTCCAGGGAGTAAAGGGAGATGGATTTATCTGCTCTTAGTAAAAATGGCCACTGTGAGAAGACAGGGGACGAAAATAAAAAAGGTATGCAAAAAAATAAAAAGCCAGCAATTGTCTAGAAGTATGTGTTTGTAGATTGCCATTACTAAACATTTCTAAAGGTGTATTTGTTGTTATTTTGAAGATATGGGTAGAGTGCCTCTTTAATGCAGGATACCCAAAAGGTCTCTCATGCCCATGTGAATGAGCCCTAAGGCACTAGATGCGCCAAAGATGGTCCCACAGAAGTCTCTGAGGCCCGCACACAGCCAGATAGAAGATTTGACCAAAAGGATGGAAACAGCTGCCAACTGCAAGTGAGGAAGTAGACAGGACTACATGACTGCAATGCAAATAAAGTATCACCCTACGCGTGGCTGGGTACTTGGCCACCGCTAAACACAACACTGCACTGTTTCCTGAGGAGACAGCAGAGTTTCGTCATACACATTACCTGGCCGTCAGTTCACAGGACACCGGGCCCCACCACCTTCCTCTCCCTGGCAGCTCATGTTTTGGCGGCTTCACTGTTACCAGCCGTACGAGGGAGTACAGAGGACGAGCAGCCAATCAGGAACGGGCGCGTGCACGGACCCACTTCCTGGGCAGCGGCGGGGACGCGCGCGTCATGTACTACACCGGATTGAAAGTAAATGGCGCGGTTTAGCACAGTGCGATAACCAGACAGGAGCACTGGTGGTCATGGCTGCTCTACGGCCATATGAGAAAATGCCTGCTGTCAACGCTGGCGCCGTTCTGGTGAGTTGCTTCTACATGATATAATTGTGAGCGTGTTACATTAAAGATGGGCTCAGCTAAATTGTCTTTCGGACAAGTTTGTGGAGGGATGGAAGATATTGCTTGTCCCAAGATGGAGAGCAGTAGTTTCCTGGCAGCTCTGTATCTGCATGTCGCTGCACATTCTGTGACGCTTTCAACAAAAACCTAAATACTAAGCCGACGTCATAGACCCTGAAGCAGTACTCTAGACAAAAAGCGTCTTCCAAGATGAAATGAATGGCTGTTATATTTTCAATCTGGAGCTGTCTCTGCAGTACTTCTGTGTTCCACCAGTGTAAAGTCTTACAGGTTGAATGACAGCCAGCATCATTTAAATCACAATTCCAGGCAAATGTTTCTTAACCCTTGCAGTCGGTCTAGCCCTGTACAGCAAGGGTTAAGTGCTTGTTAGGTGGTTGGGGGCGATTAACCAGTTGACATCCGCGGTGTTAAACCCCCTTCCCATCCAGGCCATTTTTCAGTATTCAGCGCTGCGGTACTTTGACTGACATTTATTCCGTCATGCAGCGCTGTACTGAAATGAATTTTATACCCTTTTTTGGGGACAGATAGAGCTTTCTTTTGGTGGTATTTATTCACCACTGGGGGTTTTATTTTTTTACTATATTAAGGAAAAATTACCGAAATTTAAAAAAAAAACAGTTTCCCCTATATTAAATGATAAAACATTTATTATTACCCAATTTTTTGGTAAAATATAAAAGATGGGGTCACGTCGGGTAAAAAGACACTAAACATGTCAAGCCTTAAAATTGCGTGCGCGCGCGAAACCTCAAAAAACGATAATACCCATAATTAGCAATAGGCGACGCTTTAAAAGCTGTTACCGCTCATCAGTTTAGTGTTATCAGTGATTGATGGCCCTAAAATGATTGCTCTCACTGCGTCGTTCGTGGCGATATGTAACATGTGTAGCGCAATTGTCATTTTTGCGTGCTGGGACCGGACGCGTATTTACGTTTATAGGTGCGTAAACGTGGGGGTGGGGGAGTTAAACATTTTGGGGGGTTTTTTCACTTTTTTTATATGTAACTTATTTTATTTTACTTTTTTATGTTGCTTTTTTTATTTTTTTTATTTATATATATTTTTTATCCTCTTCCTCCTGACGCCCTCCGAGCCGGTCCCGGGCCGCAGATGGGGCAGCGGATCCCGGGATTGAAGGTGAGGGGTCGGGTTGTCCGAAAAAACAAGCACATATAGACGATCGGCGGGCTATGGAGCCACCGATCGTCTATATGTGAAACACCCGGTAACGGGTGTTTGGATTGGTCGGGTCTTTTCTGCCCGTGCAATCGTCTGGCGACGGCAACCCGCCAATGCTGCAGTGCCGTCCGTCCGTTTTTTTTACAACGGGCGGACGGCAAGTGGTTAAGAAAAAATATTTCCCTGTAGTTCTGCTTTAACCCACTTCCTTAGATGCTGTCATAAACATGCACCCTGGGGTGGTGTTGTATGTATGTCATTACATGATCACACTTCAGGACAGCAGTAAAGATTGTTGCCGTCAGAGGAAGGGCCTGTAATGTTGATAAACCAGCCAGAAGACTACTGGAGAAAAGGTGTGTGTGTGTATATGTGTGTGTGTGTGTGTGTGTGTGTGTGTGTGTGTGTGTGTGTATATATATATATACTTCCTGTGTATATACGGCCTGTTAGCCCCGCCCACTCGCGCGAGCAGGAAACAACCGAAATTTAAAAAGAGGCAGCGATGCCTGTTTACATACAAGCGAGCTGCCGGCTATAGAGGCGGTGGAGCGCTTGTATGGGGTGTCGATCGGAGCAGCCCCCCCCCCCTCCATTGTGCCCGGTGCAAGCCTGGGACCAGCATGGTGGATCTCTGACAGGGGATCAGAGGGAGATCAGTACACTATCTCCCTCCGGTCCCCTCTCCGGTGTCAGAATGCGGAAGTGATGTAAATTACATCACTTCCGCATTCTTGTCACTCTCCAGCTTCAGTCCATAATAGAAATCACCAGCACTCGATGATGTGTGCAAGAAGTAAAGCACCTTCTTCTGAGCCCAGCCAATGTTTTGGGGACACGCAGGGTCCCTTCTTCTGGGACCAGAAGAAGGGACCCTGCGTGGCCCGAAATGTTGGCTGTTTGACGCATGTGACGATTTAATAAAAAGTGCTTTACTTGCACACTTAATTGAGTGCTGGTGACTTCTATTATTTCTGTTTCTATTATTATCAGATCTCTGCTTCATCAGCCTCTTTGGGGGTCCCTAGGTGACATTAGGGGTCTTGGAGACCCCTGATGTCTCCATAAAGAGGACCTGTCACATATCTTTGCTATTACATAGAGGGGTTTCTTAGCCCCCCTATGTGATAACAATAAAGTTAGGTGGGAAAAAAAATTAACGTTGCATGGAATTGTTCCACAATAAGTTTAGGAGACTGCAAGCCTTGGTTGGATGAGCATTTCCATTAGGCCAATCAATGTCGGGATAATTGAAGTCTCTCATTATAATAGCATTTGAATGGCAATGTGCCAATAAATGGACTGTTGCTAAATCATCCTTTGGAGTGCTGGTGACGTTATTTCTTTATCTCATTATAATGTTTCCCTGATTCCTAGCCATTTCAACTTGTGAATGCAGTTCATCCTTCCCTTATGTTGGGGAATCTATAACGGACACCCACAATCAGTTTACAACTAGCTTCAGTCTTGCCTACGTTTTAGTTCTAGCCATAAACACTCTGCACCATCACAACTCTCGTGACAAATAGCACCTTGCGCCAAAACCTGTGTAGCTGAAAGCACTATAAGAAGGGTTACCCTCTGAATGTGTCAAATTATAATGTGCTACGCTTCATCTAGAACAATAAATAAATAAACAAACCTCTATAATAAATAAGAGCTAAATAATACATGCAATCAAAGTGTTCACAATTGCTCTTCTTGTAAATAATATCCCTCTGGAAAGTTAAATCATATATTCTGTGTTCAGATGTGCACAAATTTGGAATCGCATGTATAAAGTGCTCAATATTTGTCCCAAGTGCACCGCACTCTTTATCCTTCCACAGTGAAAGTTCCTTATACAGTGTCCATACATCAACTCCAATTATCACCCAGGTGCTCACCCCTCTCTGTGGGCCGCTCACCTTATAAGTAGACCTAAGCAGGTCTAAAATCGCTTTATAGGATCTCCAATCGATCTTATTCAGAGGCCATCTCTCCACAATCGTTGCACAGAAAATGACGTCAGCGTGTCATCACGACCATATCCAATAAAATATAGAAAAACAGCCCATAGCGTAAAACCGCATTAAAAAACTAATTTAAAAACTACTCGCATGAGGAAAGTTGACATAAAACTTCAAGTAAAATGTATGCTCGACAACTCTCTCCGTGTCCACCGTGTTCTCTGGGTGCAAAGACGGATCCAACAGGAGCTGTGCTGCCGACCATGCAATCTCCAATCCACGTCTGCGAGACTTCGCCCTACGCGTTACGTCACAATTGACGTAGCCCCAGATGAAGTGGTGGTCTGTGTCCCCGCCGCCTCTGCCAATACAGGCGGCGATTGAAAGGGAAACAGCCCGCTGCAGCCGTATTCTAGTTTAAAAGCTCCTCCCAGTCTTTTTTCACCACCCCCCTCCCCCTTCAATACATCTGCTTCCTATTTAGATGCAACCCGTCTCTCCTGTAGAAAAATCTGAAAAGTCAGCCAAGTTCTCCGTGAACCCAAACCCCTCTTTCTTACACCAATTCCGTAGCCACTTGTTCAGTTCTCTTAACTTCCGCTGCCTCTCTGGTGTGGCTCATGGCATCGGCGGTATTTCAAAAAATACTACTTTTGGAGGTCCTTTTCTTTATCCTGGCACCCAAGCCCTTGAAATGAAGTTTCTGGCCTACTAGTAAGCAACTTACAACTAAGTAAACTTGTAAGTTTACTTAGTCGTATACAAAGAAGTGAAAGGTCTATATTTTTCATTATAGGTGTATTTTAAATGATAGAGACAGAATATCAACTAAAAATCCAGAAAACAACACATGATACAAATGTTATAAATTGAGTTGCAGTTCAGCGAGTAAAATAAGTATTTGATCCCCTACCAACCAACAGTAATTCTGGCTTCCACAGACTGGCTATGTGGCACACAGATTAGTCCTGTCAATTTAAGAAGGTGCTCCTAAAGACAACTCGTTATGTATATAAAAGAAACCTGTCCACAGAATCTCTTCCTTCCATTCAAACCTCACCACCATGGGCACGACCAAAGAGCTGTCAAAGGATGTTAGGGTCAAGATTGTAGACCTGCACAAGGCTGGAATGGGCTACAAGACTATCAGCAAGAAGCTTGGTGAGAAGGAAACAACTGTTGGAGCGATTATTGATCATGAGAAAAGTGAGGGGTCAGCCCAGAACTACACGGGAGGAGCTTGTGAATGATCTCAAGGCAGTTGGGACCACAGTCGCCAAACAAACCATTGGCTAGATATCCTACAGCACCCGCAAGTTCCCCCTCCTCAAGAAAGCACATATACAGGCCCGTCTGAAGTTTGCCAATGAACATCTAAATGATTCAGAGAAGGATTTGGAGAAAGTGCTGCGGTCAGATGAGACCAAAATTGAGCTCTTTGGCATTAACACGACTTGGCGTGTTTTGGAGGAAGAAAAATGGTGACTATGACCCGAAGAACACCATCCCTACAGTCAAGGACGGAGGTGGAAACATGGTGCTTTAGGGCTGTTTCTCTGCTAAAGGTACAGGCCGACTTTGCCGCATTGAGGGGCCAATGGACGGGGACAAGTATTGTAAAATCTTGGATGAGAACCTCATTCTCATCCAAGATTTTACAATACATGGGCAGAATACTGAAGATGGGTCTTTCAGCATGACAATGACCCAAAACATACTGCCAAGGAAACAAAGCAGTGGCTCAAGAAGAAGCACATTGAGGTCATGGAGTGGCCTAGCCAGTCTCCAGACCTTAATCTTATAGAAAATGTATGGAGGGACATGACATTTCGAGTTTCCAAGAAAGCTTAAGGATTTAGAGAAGATCTGTAAAGAGTGGACCAAAATCCCTCCTAAGATGTGTGCAAACCTGGTAACCAACTACATCAAACGTCTTACCTCTGTGCTTGCCAACAAGGGTTTTCCCACCAAGTACTAAAGTGACATTAAAGGCAAAAAAAAATTTCAGTGCAAAGCACTGTTGCTGTTATCAAGAAAATATCGGCAATGAAGGATCAGGTATTTGCATTGCAGCTTTTGCAGAACCACAACAGTGTTTGCCCTTAACATCACCTCCCATTCACATCACCTCCAGACCAGACTGTTTTCGGACCCAAAATGCATCCCAATGTATCCCTATGCTATTTCTGGCCTCTGTTCCCACCAGTGCAGTCCGTTCCGGATCAGACCAGAAAAATACTGCTTGTCCTATTTTGTCTGGTCTGGAATGCACTGGACCGCATCAAAAACGCATGGAACGCACCTGTAAGAACATTTTAAGCTAAAAAAAATAATTTTGTTTTTTTTATTCCAATCACGGTAAAATCCAGGCAAAAATGCAATGCACTATGTTCCAGATCTGGTCCGGAAAATGGTGTGAACCCAGCCTAAAGTGTTTGACTGCAGAGGACATGTTCAGTATTGCTGGCAATGTGGCTTGTCTGTGGTTGCCTTTCTGTTGTGTACTGCAGCACTTTTTGAACAAAATGGTGCGCTTCACCATTGGCTTCTAATGAAACACTGCATTTTATTTTCAACTGCCAATTGGCAGTCTGTATTGGCAGTCGAAAATAAAATGCAGTGTTTCATTAGAAGCCAATGGTGAAGCGCACCATTTTGTTCAAAAAGTGCTGCAGTACTCAACAGAAAGGCAACCACTTTTAGCCAACTTTGCTCTTTGTAAGCTATGCTGTAGGTAATGTACACTGTTTTGTAAATATATAGCATTGAAAAATTTTAGGAATCTGGTATTTCATTCCATTTTGTAGTAATGTGTATTATACATTTTATTTTTCCCTCATTTCAGTTAATTGGCTCAGAAGAAAGTCATCGAGAGCTGCTCGCCCAAGCAATGCTGAGAGAACCAAAAGCTTTTGATGTGAAGATGTAAGTAATTCCATCTGCATAAATTTTTGCATGCATGCATACATACATACATACATGCATATATACATGAGGGCATGCTCCTAATGAGATGACGGATGATCTCCTGGGGTATCTCCTCCCTGATGTGGACCAGGGCATCCCTAAGCTCCTGAACAGACTGAGGTGCAACCTGGCGGTGTCGGATGGACCGAGACATATTGTCCCAAAGATGTTCTATTGGATTCAGGTCTAGACTTTGCAATATTTGCCCACTCTTCTTTGCAGAACTGCTCAAGTTCAGTTACATTTGTTTGCTTCAGTTGCAGTACCAGGGACTGAAATGCTCCAGGAAAGCTCTTTTCATCCAGAGCTAATCAAAATTACCACAGCTGATCACAGTTGGAAGGCAAATGGCTTTGTGTGTCATTGAGAAGGTGATTAGCTACACCTGACTGAGTTTACAAGTCATTTTTAGGAGGGGGTGATCCTTTTTGCAACTCAGTGATTTTTTTTTTTTCTGGCATGTTGGGGTTATATTTTTCCCTTGCATGTTATAAGTTGCACAGCTGGATAAAGCAAAAACTGTCTGTCTTCATTTCAGGCTGCAAAGCAACAAAATTTGATTATTTTAAGGGGGGGGGGGGGATTCTTTTCTATACCCACTGCATGTATTATATTTAGACATTTTAATTAAGTTTCATGGATTTATAATAATCTAACTTGAAAAACTCCAAGCAAATCTAATAAAATAAGGAAACTTTTATTCAAAATAACACACCTAAATTGTACAAAATAAATACTATATATATATATATATTCTCTCTCTCTCTGGAGAGAATCTAGCCAGCCTGCTCCAGCTTCCCCCTTGTGGCTGCCAGGCTCATCTAGCGTCTCTATAAGCCTGTAACCAATGCAAGGAAATCCAGGATGAAGTGCAGGATCAGATTGGTGAGCTGCTGATTTGAATTTAGAAGTGCTCTGATATGATCACTTCTTGGTACAAAGCGGTCAAATCCTGGCTGCAGAGGCCAGATCTTTTTTGGGTGCAAGTACATACATAAATGTTTTTTTGCATATGTTTTTTGGCACATTGTGTATGCTCATACATTGTGCATCACCTACGTTAGGGGTAGATAAATGAATATGCTTTTTGAGAGCCAGTCAATCCAGGAGCCACCAGCAAGCATAATAATTAGACCCAGTGCCAGCTCCAACCCAACTAAACCTTGCTAATCCAATGGTTTTAACACTTTGTATCACTTGCCCAGAACAAGCATGTAGGAATTTTCACTACTTGATCCATGCTACAGTGAGGTGGTAGACATTTTCAGTAAAGTCTGCTATGGCAGCCTATGTATAACCCGTGTACAGGTTTTGTACCAGTGATGTAAACAAGGTGGAAGTCATCTGATTATGTCCATCTTTCCAAGCTGTGTATTGCTTTAATTGCAGGTGAGTTGTTTAGGCCTACCAAGTAAATGGCACTTTACTGTGCACATTTACAATAGTGAAGGACGGAATAGTTAACAAGGTGCAAATTATTTGCATTGGCATATGGGACTTTTTTCACTTCCTCAGCTGTTAAGCTGTTAGGTGGCCCCTTTAGACATGTCTCAGTGGAGTTCTTCTTTGAAGTTGGAATGTGGGCATTTATAAAAAAATAAATCATGAATCCATTTAACCTAATGATTGGTTCTTTCTGTAACCTATGTTAATATGCATAGATTTATAGTTCTTAAAGGAGAACTATGGGGTCAGTGTTTTTCCCCATAGTTCTCCTTAGGGTAACGGGAGGACACAAACTAGCGTCCTCCCGTTACCCTAAGCTCAGTATACCGCGAGCTACAGCTCGCGGTATACTGAGACGCCGCACCTGGAGCGGATCCCGACTTATATGACGGGATCCGCCCAGCTGTGTGAGTGACAGCTGGCTCTGCCTATCTAGAGGCAGAGCCAGCTGTACCCGCCCCCTCCCCCGTCCGTTCCGCCAGTCAGCGCTGGCAGATCGGAGCGGGGAGAGGGGAATCCAGCCCCTCCCCCTGTCACGGCAGAGAGCCGTGACAGGATCGAGAGGTGAGGGAAACCGGTATGTGTTCCCTCACCTCCCGTTCTACTGAGCCGACCTGTGACAGTCTCATTGTCACAGGTCGGCTTAGAACTATGAGATGAGTGGAAATCACTCATGTCATAGTTCTCCTTTTTAAAATGCTGCTCATGTAGCCCTCTACAGTTACAAGCTGTGGCTACTTTTTATTTCTTTTTTGTTTTCCATAAACACACGTTAAAACGTACAAATATAAATTGTATCTTCTGAATCGACACAGAAAAGTATTCTTTTTTGGTTTTCTCCTAAAGCAGTATTTATAAGACTTGTTTCAGATTGTTAATGATTTCTTGCCTTTTGCAGCCACATGGCCCACTGTCTGCCTTTGCCTTTTGAAGGAGATCACCTCCGTCCACGGTTTGACCTGGTTGTGTTTTTAATAAATCTACACAGCCAACTCAGGTATGCAATAAGCAGAAAAAAAAATGGCTTCCCAAGGGTAATCTGTAAAAAAAAAGGGGAAATGGCTGCAATATGAACATGTTTAAATTGAATAAAATCAAGTTATATTTTCTGATATCAGCAGCCAGGATCTGCTTTGGCTATGTATTCTGTAAAAAGGCTGCCTCGTACTGTGCGCTTCATGCTGGTGAAGATCCTTTACAGATGTAAAGAATATGTTTAATTAAAGTGGGTCTGTCTGAAATTTTAAAGATTTAAGGTGCCCATACACTTCCCGCCCCTCAAGGGGCGGGCTTGCGATGATCGCAAGTACGATCTGCCTGTCCAAGATGGGCAGATCGTACGTTTTTTAAGGTCTTGCGATGGTTGTAAAGTGTATGGCCACCTTTTAGATGTAAAAGTAATGTCTTCTAGCAGTCACCACAGGGTTTCTATTACCTTTTCATTAGCCTTAAAATTCCTCCTCTATCTACCAAATTTGCACAGGCAATGGTGCATCTTATTCAGTTTATTTTATGGTACGTAATATTTTCCAAGTATTTTATTCTATTACTTGAGCCCCAGTGACACTGTTTACATAGTTTCATGCTATGGTTTATTACAGACCAAAACCTGAAAATGTGTATTACCATAAATACTATGCTAAATTTTGCTACATGTTTACTTTTATGCAGTTGATGTACTAGATTGACAACCTTTCTTTGGTAACGTAATAAGTTAAACCTGGGTTCAACATTGCCCCCCCAAGGATTGATAGGACTATCCAAGGGGGGGGGGGGGCAGTAAATGTCTGGGGGTCAATAGGTGGTGGATTCGAGTCAATTAAAGGGTTATTAAACCCTCAACGGATTTTGCTTATATCTAATGCTAGCAAGCAGTAGATATATGCAAAAACATTAAAACAAACTTTTAAAAAGGGTTTAAACTTACCTGTGTGCGCGCTCCCGTCCGAAACATCTAAAGAGTCTCGGGCAGGCGCATGCGCACTTCAGATGTTCGGCCGAGAGACGAGTAGAGACAAGGTAAGCCTATGGAGCAGCGTGCCCACGCACGGACTCCGTGGGACGACAGAGGAGAGGAGGAGTCAGTGGTTGATCGGAGACCCGCACCAGCGCTGGAGGGACAGCTGAAAAGGGCAGTCAAGAAGAAGATGATTGAATCAAGAGGCATCATTTAAGTAAGTCCCTACAGCAGGATTGGGAAGGGGCAAAAAAAGTTTGACTTTAATGTCACTTTAATCTTTTGAGTTAGCTATAGTGCACCGTGCTATTCTCTGGTCCTGAAACTGAGATGGCAAGACATTGTTTATCCAGGGTTGGATAGTCAGTCGCCAGCAAGAGCAGCCTTGAGTTGATTTAGTCAACTGTGTGCTATTTGCCTTGTTTACCAGTGTGAATTGCATTGTGTTTTGTGACCTCCCATCCTTGCCCATTCGAGGAATTTATACTTACGCGTTTATTTCCTGTACTGGACATACCCCTCACCCCAAACTGTTGGACAGCCAATGAGTATACTCTTCCTAAGCTTTGTTGGAGAGCCAGTGAGTATACTAAAAGCGATAGGAGTGGTACTGTGCATTTATTAAAAATTAAAGTGACATTAAACCCTCAGATTTTTTAACATAAAACAATACTGTAATGTGTGCCTTACTATTTCCATGGTTGTTTCCCTTCTCTTTGCTGCTCTTCCTTTTAAATCTCTATCTGTTCTCATGCTCTGCAGAACTTCTGTTTTGCAGCAGACTGCCTTGTCTCAGGAATGGATACACGGTGTCTGTGTATCCGTTTGTATAGGCTTGTAATCTGAGCCAGCACTACAGGAAGAGGCCCTGAGCTGAAAAGTGAAGTTCTGCCCAGCATGAGAAGACATGAGGATTTAAAAGGAAGAGCAGCAAAGAGAAGGGAAACTACTATGGATTACAGTAAGGCACACATTACAGTATTGGTTTATGTTAAAAAATCTGAGGGTTTAATGTCACTTTAAGTAGGGATGCACCGAACTCAGGCAATTTCATGAGTACTTGGAAAAATGCCCCGATGCAAAGTGCCGATACCGGCGTTTTACATTTTTAAACTAAGGCTTAACAGAAAGACTGAAGAGATCCTCAGCAAGGTCCGGTGGCCTTCTGTGAACGGTGGTGCATGCTTACAGCGCTACCCGAAGATCTCCTCCTCCTTCATGCCGACCGACCGGGACCTGGGTGGGACTGCACAGAGCCCAGCATACAGGCCATACAGCCAGCACAGCCACTAATAACCCCACAGAGCCCAGCATACAGCCCGCACAGCCACTATTAACCCTGTATATACCACCTGAGAGCCGCAAAGACCACCAATATGCCTGCACGGCCACCTGAGAGCCGAACAGACCACCATCTACCCCACACAGCCACCTGATAGCTGCATAGCCCAACATAGAACCTTCACAGCCACCTGAGTCCTCACAGCCCACCATAGATGCCGCATAGCCCACTACAGAACCTGCACAAGCCACCTGAGAGTTAACATAGCCCACCATAGACCCCACACAGCCCTCCTAAGACCTCACATAGCCACCTGATATCCTCCGCTGGAGACATCAGGCTGACCCCCAGGAGCAGCACAGTGTGTAGCTTCATATTATTCTGCATTGCTATATAATGCATTGCTGGGATTTGTAGTCCTCTATAGCCGGTTGCCATTCGGCATTACTGTATAATATATCACTGGGTTTTGTAGTTCTCTCTAGCTGATGACATTATGCTGCATTGCTGTATAATGTTTTGCTAGGATTTGTAGTCCCTCTACAGCTTGAAGTCAGTGGCAGAACTACTAGGGGAGCAGCGTTTGCAGCTGAGAACGGGCCCTGGTACATCACCACTGTCTTAAAATCATTAGTCTGATCTGTTTTAGAAAAAATGTCACATGACACTAAAAAAAAAGGTATTGGAGGGTACTTGGGGTGGAAAAATTGTATTTGTGCATCCCTAATAATATTTAGCATTGTATTAACCATAAAGTGTCAACAGTATTTGCAAGAATATTATTTTTATTATTAGTAGTATTCCTATAACTATTATTTAACCACTTCAGAACCAGAGCGGTTTTGCTAATTTTTGCACACACACGTTAAAATCTGCATTTTTGGCTAGAAAGCTGCTTAAAACCTCCAAACCGTTATATATATTTTCTGAAAGCAAAGGTCTTGTAGAATTTTTTTTCCCCAGTAGAAAAAAATGCTAGTTGTAATTTATGTTACAAGATATTTGTGTAAATGTTTATCAAATTGATATTTTTAGGGAAAAATACACTAAAATGAATCGTGCACACAAGCAAAATAAAAATTTTTTGTAAAATATATAAAATATGGGATTGTGTCTGGTAAATAGATACCAGACATTGCAAACCACTTGTGAAATGGCAAAATTGCACTTAAAAAGCCAGCACCACTCACCAAGTTTAAGTTAACAGTGAATGATGGCCCTAGAATTATTGCTTACACTCCAATGTTTGCGGTGATATACAACGTGTGATGCAACAGTCGCTTTCACACATAGGTGCACCCAACACATGTTTGCTTTTTGGGTGGAAAAAATACTTTATTGCTATCACATATGGGACTAACAAGCAAGGGAGGGAGTGGCTTCATTTTTAGCACCATGCAAGTGATCAGGCGGCTCTAAAGCCACCTAATCACTTGTATGTGAAAGCCGGGTGTCAGCTGAAAAGAACCGTCCTGCTGCAGCGATGATCTTGGATTTATATGTACGGCGGACCTAACGTAGTATTACATTATTTTCATATAATGTACGGAGGTCAAGAAACGATCAAACTTTATGAAGAAACTGATGTGCCAAAGAGTTTGGGGATCCCTGTGTTTAAACAATTACCTTCTTTATTTGAACAATAAAACATATCTCCTTCGAAAATCCATGGGTGTGCCTGTTAGCTAGTCACTTTCACTCAATACCATTAAATTACATTATACAGGTTATACACAGCAAAGCAACAAAAATAATCAACTCCTTAGAATGAGTTGATGCTTTTGGAAGTTAGATCGGTTAGCATAACTGTTCAGGTTCATCTTTAAAATGTTCTAAGCTATAGTCTTCAGTGTTTCTACATTAGTAAGTACATGTGAAGAATAACGTGCATACTCCATATTTAAATATATTATTTTGTTTTGGTTTTTTTTTTGCAGCCTGAACAATGTTCTGTCTTCCATGCTGCACTTGGATACCTATTTTTATCTTGGAAAAATTTGTTTTGTGGCTACAAGAGGTATAATTATGTTTTGTCATTTAAATATGATATACTGCTACCATTACCTTTAGTAATTGATCATATGCTTTTGTTTTTAGGCAAATCTGGAGAAGTTCAGCACTGTATAGTAGATATAACCACAGTGAAGGATCTGGCAGACAAACACTTGAGCATCTTGATACAGTCTGAACTTGATGTAAGTTCCCTATCTCCATAGTTTGTTGTAGAACATTTTAGAAAACCATATAATTTCAAAAATGAAAACTTACATAACACTTGTGTAAGCAGTAAGTTTGCAGATATCCGTTTGTAAGGATTGCACAAAAGTCGGATGTTGCCATAAGCTAAACCAAGAGTTCACTTTGAAAGGTAAGGCTATACTATTATAGCAGTTAGAGTGGGCATGCCATGAAGACCTTTACTGTTTATTGCAGCATACTTGTATGTCCTTGTTCCAACTTCCTTATTTTTGTAAATTGGTGTTTAAATTCAAGCAACATGCTTGATTTAAAAACTTACTTTGTTTTCTGTGGCCACGGTCATTTGGACTCATTATACAAATCTCCTAATATAGAACATGTAATTCTGTGAGAGACTCAAGAATGTAGTAATTCTTGGACAAGTGGGTTATACAGCTGCCTTCTGGAGGTTTGGACACTGGCAAACAAATAAACAGTCCAGCCTTTGGATAACCTTGCCTCTCAACCGCCATGCCTCATTTTGTTGCTAGTGTCATACTATATTTGACATTTCTCTAATCATCTTCCAGGCCAGCAGCCTGAGAGATGATTGGCTCCTCCTTCTACAGGAAGCACGATTAAGAAAGCAGTTAAATACCCTCTCACCCCATCGTCCCTCAGTTTTTTTGTGTTTCCTACTGTCCAGGAACCTTCCTCACGTTTATTCTTTTCCTGACCGGTCGACCTTGTGGTCGCAGGTCCCCCCTCTGTGCAGCTCTGTTTTCAGGCTTTCTGCTGTGCCTGTTGCCTTGCTGTGGATACGGAGGGGTTCTCCCCTGTATGCCAGGGTTCTGTTGCTCCGTTTCTGTGACCCAGGGAGGAAGAATCCTGAGGCCCCAAGGTTGCATTGCCCTATCGTTGCTGGTTCAGTGGATCAGGGGTGTCTGCACGCTGCGGCTGACGGGAGCCGAAGATGAAACGCAAAAGGGGGCGGGATGTGCAGTGCGTTCCGCCGCTGCTGTCCTCACTGCCGCTGCGTGCCTCTCTGCTATTACACGCCGGAATGCTGCTCTCAACTTAGCAGCCATCTCAGGACAGATTGTGGGAGAAGAAGCCACTGCTGCTCTAATGGAGGTTTGGACACTGGCAAACAAATAAACCGTTAGTCCAATCTGTGGATAACCCTGCCTCCCAACAGCCGTGCCTCAGTTTGTTGCTAGTGTCTTTAAAAATTTGACATTTTTTCCTCCGCTCTGTGGAAAACATCTATATTACAATTTTTTCTCTTTTATGTACACTCTTGAGTTTTCAAGGTTGGTTTTTCTCTTGATTCAAGTTGTTTATTATGCTACTTGAGCTGGTCTGTACACAGTTATCAAGATTGGATAATCAATTATGCTTTGTAGGCTGTAGTCAAGCCCCTTTGGACTAGAGATTGTGGGGCCTGTCTGGGATGTGACCCTGGGGCATTGGGCTCTGGCGCTTTTCTACCTGTCCTGATACAAAAAAATGATTTGAACCAAAACTGTATTTAGTAGCGCTAAGAAGCGCTTCTCATTGGTCAGCGCTGTCAGGTGACCACGCTGACCAACGAGTGCTTGCAATTTGCAAGCAAAATTCAGAATACATGGCACAGGTACAGATAGTACACCCGAAAAGTAAGCATAGCAGAGATGGAGAGTGGGCCTGATTTGTGCAGGTAATTCCATTTTCCCAAATTACTTTAGGGCTGGTGCAGACTTGGGCTATCGTGTGCGGTTGCATACAGCAGTTGACGCAGGACCCCATTGATTTCAGTGGGGTTACATCTGTGTGCAGTCGCTGAAAACAGGTACATGCATGATTGCACAACTGCGCAATCTCCCTGGCACGACTGGGGTGCCATTAGAAAATAATGGCACTGCCAGTGCGATTGGTGGTGGTGTGCGATTCTGTAACCGCCTGGCCAGCCGCACGATTTCATGCACGATTGCCACGTGGTCACGGATTGCACACTCTGCTCACACACAATGCCCTATGCATGTGTTTATTCGCATGCATATGGTGGGGGCAGTCGGGTTAGTTTTAATTTGTATTTACTTTATTTTTTTTACTTTGTAAAATTTTTATTTTCATTTATTTTATTATTTTTTTTTTTTTTTACATTATGTATTTACATTTTTAATTATTTTATTCTTTTGACTTTTTTTCTTTTTCACTTTATTGCTATCACACAGGGGATAACAAGCCCCTGTGTGATAGCTTTTGGAGGTGACAGGTTCTCTTTATTGACCCTCTCACCTACAATACAGGAGTTCTAGCACAGCACTGTGCACGTTCTCCTGTGACAGGGTGCAGCGTCCTGTGTCAGTTCTATCATGGAGCAGAGAATGGACGTTCTCTGCTCTGTTTCCTGCTCTCTACCCTGATTTAATTTGCTGTGGTACTGGGTCCCCCAGAAAAGCGGGGGACCCCGAAGAACACGGCAGAAAGGGAGCCGGCGGGTATAGAGGCAGAAGGATGCAGTAACAGAGGCAGCGGCTGGGGACACGGCAGAAGAGAGGGGGAGTGAGAATCAGGTTGGTTACAAGTGATCTTGGACGGCTGTAAAGCAGGTCAACATCACCTGTACAAAACGGCTCCCCTCTACATTTAGCCCGCAGCAGGACTAAATGTAGAAAAAAAACTACTTACCCGGTGTCCGAAACTGCATGTCCCGGGCATCGAGCGATAGGAATTCCACACCGCTGTTCATGATTGTGGACGTAGTACACAGATACCATCTCTCCCTTTTTATAAATAGGGGGAACTTAGTTGAGCATATCTGACTTTGCAAGGTAAAGGGAAACAAAAGCCTTGCAGGATGGGTTGGAGGTAGGGGTGAGGGGAAAAAAATGCTTTGAGTGCAGTTTTTAATGGACATCTCTTCACTTCAGTGAATGTCTTTACCTTTAGGAACTTCATTAATGCCCAATTGGAATCCCTTCTTTCGTCCCAGTTTGAATTGACCAGTGTGGCTCTTGGCCCTCTTCTGGTGGTAACCTTAATTTGTGGAACCATTTCTCAATGGATCACATCTTTTATATGGGGTTTCTGTGATCACTTAGTGTCTTGCATTGAAATAATGTCTGTCCATATGCATAGCGGCATTTTGGCAACATGCCTGAAGCATAGAAGATATGTCTAAAGAACCGCCTTATTCATTTACCATTTAAGGTGTTTCTTTGGTGAAACACTTAAATTGTCTCTTGTTTCTCGCTCTGGGCACTCGCTTCAACACAGAGGACCAGCTATTGAAGGGCCTTAATCTGCTGCTAATAGAGTAATACCATCTTGTAGGCAATCAGTTTGTGACCTATGTCTACCATACACCTTATCACCATAATCCTTTTGTTCAAATGTATACCCCTCCTTTGCCAATTGGTTTTTGTTCTTGATTCTACACGGTCTCTTCATGCTTTCCTTCAGTGTCCATGCTCAGGCTTTAGCCTGTAGCTTCTGCACTAGACTCCACAACCACATTTCTGGTTTCTTTTGGATTTCTTTGTAGTCCAGTGTACATATTTGCAAACTGTTTTTAGGTACCCCGCACCCTAGAGCTTATATGTTGCCTGGAGTCTATCTTTTGAGTATATTCCTACTCCTATTATAACATGGAGTCTAGTGATTTTTAGATTAGTAAACTTGTAGTGCTTACCCTTCCTAAAAAGGACAAAGATCAGTATCTGCTGTTTTTAATAATAAAGGATTTTACTGTCTGGCACTTCCCAGAGATTTGGGACTCTTCTACAATACTATGGGGGTTATTCACTAAGCTGCCGATGGATTAAGCTGAGTGTTCAGCTTGCTTTGGCTTCAGGAAGCCTGAACCGAAGGGCTGCTGTACGGGCTATTCACAATGGCCCATACAGCAGCCGAAGCACTCAGCTGAGCCGAAGACACAGCCAAAGTGGACCGTTCTCCCCGCAAGTTCTAAAAAAAAAAACCAAATAAAAGAAAAAAAGAAAACAGTGTGGGGTCTCCCTCCCAAACCATACCAGACCCTTTAGGTCTGGTAGGAATAATAGGACGGAACCCCGAGTTAAAAAATAAAACAAATGCATGGGGTTCCCCCCATAAGTCATACCAGACCCTTCAGGTATAGTAGGAATTTTTTAAGAGGGAACCCCAACGCCCAAAAATGGGGGGGGGGGGGCGAGGAGGGGGCCCCCACCCCCCTAACATTTCCAACCATACCCTTAATCCGGGCACTGGCCTGGCACGGCAGGAAAAAGGGGTACACGCGAGACCCCATGCCCCAGGCATGCCGATGGGGAAAAGGGCCTCTTCCCCCCCAAACCCTGGCATGGGGGTCTGCGGGCAGGGGGCCTCATCTGGGTACCCTCTTTCCAGATGCCGCCCCCCTTGTGAATGAGTAAGGGGGTAGTTGTACCCCTACACATTCACTAAAGAGTTAAATAAACGCACCAGACTTTTGAAAAAATCCTCTAATTGAACAGACCTAGACAGCTTTTGACAATTCCTGTATTTAAAAAAAAAAAGAATTATCCAACCTCAGTCACGTCGTCCAGCGATGTAATCCAAGGTCAATCACGATGAACGCATACTCGCCGAAATAACAAAAAGCCCATTGGACCCGACCAATGAACTGCTGCAGCTAAATGAGAAATTTGACAGCTCCCAGCTCAATGCCACCATTTGCTCCATTACCTGAAAGTGGAAAAAAAAAAGCCCTCTTTTTTTGTTTTTATATTACTATTTTCATTCTGTTCGCTACCTCAGAGGACCGAGCTAAATGCTGCACGGCAGCATTTGGCTATTCACTCTCTGCTGTTTAGCCCCAGAGTGAACTGCCAAATGTTCACCTCAGCAGATCCAGATGTTGGATCGGCTGTGGCGAACGGGTTCTTCCATTTGGTTCAGCCGAATGTGCTGAGGCTATTTGGCTGAACCGAAAGGAGTCAAAGGCAGCCATAGGTTTTTAATGCTGTGTCCTCGTTGGGGAGACTCACCCCCTCTATTTGTCCTGGTTTCCTCTCACTGAAAGTAAAAGAAAATGCCAATGTTTTTCTTTCTTTTAAGGCCTTGCCCA